GACTTGGGTGTCATTTCGGTGTCTTTTCCGTCCATGGGTTTATTTTTAACTTTTAAGTCGAAGCGACAAATACTGTTGTGATAACATTTTTAAGGAACGTTTTCAAGCAATCGGTTGATATCAGCGGTTTGCCGAAGATTTTCATATACTGTACCCCACACTCTACAGAACAGTACTAATAATCTCGAGAATCTGCTTGTAAAAGTACCTGTGTGTTCGAAAGCTCCCATGAAAATCATCTTCCAAGCTGTGCAACTTCCCGAATCGAGTCGATTCGACCTAAAAAAAAACCTTACTTGGGTCTTGATTTCTTACTAAATGCATGCGAGTCGAAGTGAGAAATAATCAAATTTACTGAAGATACTGGTGATGTGCTGCGATTTTTTCCCGATGATTTTTCATTGCTACTATCGGTAGTGCTGGGAATATAGATTCTTATAACCTATTTTTCTTGTTGAAAAACGACGATTTCCTTTCCCACAAAATTTAAACTTAATTTCTGTAATTTACTAAGGTGGCGTGAAAGTGATAGTTCAGATTTTATTTCTTGTAAATGCATTTATGGTACTCCGTAGTTCAAACAAGGATTTTCTTCTGCAGAAATTCGATAACTAAGCATGTTAAAGGGATAATTTTACGAAACCATTCCAAATTGTTTCATTGAATACAAAATTTGAATGGATTAAGGTGAAGGGTGATCGTTTCTTGGAAATCAAGCGTCTTTTCCAAAAATATAAAAAATTTAGGTATGCTATGCAGGGAATTTTTGGAACAACCGCTAATTAATTTTATTACGAAGTATAAATATAAATAACACATAATTTAACTCGAAGGTCTTTTAATGTCTCCTTCTATAACAATCAAATCTTACAAATCTTAACTTTTCGGAATACATTTTGAGACGTAGAACAGCTTGTTGAGCTCACAATACTGTACCTCAACGAAGTTACCTGACGGACTTCGAATGTGATTCCAATGCAAAAATTTTTTTCTGTACAAATAATTGTGTTGGTGGTCCTAGTAATGTACTGTATTTACCTTGTATTCTCTGAAGAGTAACAAAAGAAGAGGAGTTGTTGTTGCTCGAATCTCATTATTCTCGAGTTTTAGGGACAATGGTGTTGTGTGAGGAATTTTTCAATTCGATCCGCGTCTCTGTTCCCCATACATGTACTGTGCTTCCCTTTGACTGTTGTTAACCTGAAGGAGCTTATTACGCGTCGAACAAAAGGCTCATCCGAAGACCAGCAATTTTGCAACGCCCCATAAGTTACCACTAAAAAGAGAGAGTGAGTCTACGCTTTGCGAAAAACAGCGCGTCGGCAACAGGGAGGGTTGGTCGGTACAGTGATGAGGTCATTCCGGCGGAAATTTGCGGGGAGGGCAAAAGCAGCTGCAGGGATCTCGGCAAAAGCTAATGTATTTCCGCTAAGCTTGGCTGCGCCTGGTGCACTAGCAATTATATTTCCCAATCCCGTTGTTGACGGAATTCTTTCTCAACCGCGCTCACGCTTCTTTCCTTTAAAGAAACAAAGCGTGACGTCCCCGATCCGAATCAGCTCTCTATGCGCGTCCTGTGGCCCTGGCCGGCCGAGGCTATATATACAGGTGCATTTTATGTTGCTTTAAGTTGATCGCACCAGACTTTGTCCGAACGCCAAATCTACGCCGCTTTGCTCTGTAGAATTGTATTGTATTGACTGTGTGTGAAGATATAATAAATAATATTTTGAAAATACTCTCACGGAGTAACTTTTGCATTTCCTTCAAAAGTTGCAGAAAACGATTTAAATCTCCGATCCCCTTTTCCATTAATTGTTAGAAGTAGTCCTCAACAACCAATCATTGTTGATTCCTCACTTCTTAAAAATAGTTTTTGGATAACACATTGAATACAAAAGTTGAATGGATTAAGGTGAAGGGTGATCGTTTCTTGGAAATCAAGCGTATTTTCCAAAAATCAAAAAAATTTAGGTATGATATGCAGGGAATTTTTTGAACAACCACGAATTCATTTTATTCCGAAGTATAAATTACACATTATTTAACTCGAAGGTCTTTTAATGCCTCCTTTTATGACCATCAAATCTTACACATCTTAACTTTTCGGAATACAGTACATTTTTAGACGTAAAACAGCTTGTTGAGCTCACAATACTGTACCTCAGCGAAGTTACCTGACGGACTTCGAATGTGATTCCAATGCAATATTTTTTTTCTGTACCAATAATTGTGTGTTTGGTGGTCCTAGTAATGTATTTACCTTGCAGTCTCTGAAGAGTAACAACAGAAGATGAGTTGTTGTGCTCGAATCTCATTATTCTCGAGTTTTAGGGACAATGGTGTTGTGTGAGGAATTTTTCAATTCGATCCGCGTCTCTGTTCCCCATACATGTACTGTGCTTCCCTTTGACTGTTGTTAGCCTGAAGGAGCTTATTACGCCTCGAACAAAAGGCTCATCCGAAGACCAGCAATTTTGCAACGCCCCATAACTTACCGCCAGAATGTGAGAGAGTGAGTCTACGCTTTGCGAAAAACAGCGCGTCGGCAACAGGGAGGGTTGGTCGGTACAGTGATGAGGTCATTCCGGCGGAAATTTGCGGGGAGGGCAAAAGCAGCTGCAGGGATCTCGGCACTAAAAAAATATGAGAGGGGGGAAGGCAGCTGTTTTGGCACTGGGCGCAGGCGCCTATTTTAGCGATGCTGTTCGATCAGCGGATATTCACTTTGTCTCGCTTGCGAGATGAGGCCCATGCTGAAAATTTTCTAGCTCGGTGATTTGAATTCTAGTTTTCGAGTGGTAAAGCGCTGTGAAGAATTGGTACTGGCACTTTTTGCTTAAATCCACGCCTATAAATCACGAAATGTATTGATGCCTCTTCTAACCGCGAAAGTGCCGAAAGTGGTCAATTGGTTTGAACTTGAGTACTAATATTTTTATGAAGACTGCGAGTACTTATTTGTTATCTTCATCTTGAACCTTGAGGTTGTTTTTCTTCGGCGTAATCACAGTTAATATCTGGACTATATTTTTCTTTTATCTATTGAGGTTATTCGCTGGTTTTAATCTTGTTAATTTCAAAAGATGTATCAGAACAGCCGTTGGTTTGTTTTTACTTTTCTCCAGCAAGACCTTGACTCGATCTTCTGAATTTTAAAAGTGCGTAGAAATCTTTTGCATTCTCCGTTCTACATTGACGACGTAATTTTTTTTTAAGAATAGAATAAGATCACCTAGTCCTTAAAATTTGGAAGTCCCTGAGAATGTGAACCGTGACGAGTAGGCAAGGTTTATCTCATCCTCGGCCTCGAAATTCGTCTTGTCATCGAGTTTGTAAACTATCGGTGTGTAAGGTTCTATAAGTTCAAAGCATTCCCCCAAAATTCCAACACATTTTGCCTACTGCGATTCTGACTGAATACCCTTGACGAATTTCAATCTGGATTTGATTTCTTCCGCGGAATCTTTCGACCATATCACGCTGTGTGGCTCTGGATTTTATTTTTAAAAGTTGAAATTCATTACGGTCATTTTTAGATGATACGCAAGCTCGAAGACTTGATTACAATTGGTCGTTTGAGTGAGATTCACGAACATTATAGTATTTCTCGCTCGTGATGCCTTGACGTGAATTTTCGCATTCGAAACTTTTGCAATGCCCACGTTTGATGTGTTTTCAAAGTTTTTATTTCTGGGATGAAATGGAAAGCGTTCTATGACTAAGATGAACTGTGGGAATCAGCAGTGTCAGATTACTTATCGTTATAGTATACCCACGATGCGGTTCGATCAGTCCCACGTGAGACTTCGATCGCGTCACTAAAAATAACACATGTGTGCTATAGAATAGTTCTAGCATCGATAACACGTAGAATACTTGTACTATTATAGTGACGGGTGTGATGAAAGTTTTACGTGGAACTGATCGGAATGCATCGATTTTCGATAAGTTGTATGAGATGAAATTCGAAATTTTTTCTTTGCTCTGTATTAATAAATTTTTTTTTTCGGACAGTGCGTAATTAAATTTTAAACAGGAAATGTAGCTAAGATTTTTCCGGGTTCATCTCATGTTCCATAAGTTCGGCTATAGCGGTAAAGGGTGCTGCACTCCTTTGAATTTCCCGTCTTCCGCGAATTGTAATGGGTGTATGTGTATTGTAACTTGGAAATCCGCTAAACCCTTTTTTTAAAAATAGAATTCCGTCACGAAATAGCGTATTGAAGGTTGCTTCTACATACTCGTGTCCCGTAAGAAAAATTTCCGTGAAACTTCGTGTTGAGAACTGAAATTTTTGAATCCATTGGTTTTTGATACAGTTGAACCTGTTCACATCGAACTTGAAAGGATTAGGAAAAAAATCGAAGTGGGGAGATTTCCAGTCAGGGGAACATTCATTTTTTTGTTGGGTATAGAAAGAAAGATTGACAAGATATTACTATTGGTGCTGGTTGTGTCAAGTGAATGAGTTGACAGGATGCTGAACTTGAGTGGTAAAAGATACATTTGCCAAATTAGTCATTCACCCAATTCCTTTCGAACAACGGGAAGTCACATTTCTATTGTTTTTCTCTTTCCTAAGCAGTCAGAATAATATCCCAAATTATCCGATAATTTTGTGTTATGGATGTTTGAGGGAGAAAAGCTACGAGTTAGAGAGGTTTATTATGCATTATTGTTCGTGAGGGAATGTAGACAGGGTCTAGAAAGAATTCGACGTGGGGAGGTTGATTTATTAAGGTTCAACTGTAATTTAAATTTTAAAAAGTTGGTAATTTCAGTTGTTTTTCAGGATGGCCATTCTGGTTTGAAATTTAGGCGACACCTTCCTTACGTTTCGAGAACTCCTACATATATCTCAGCGCTTTGTAATCGAGAAGTAATTACTGTTGATATGTCTATGTACTGTGCAATGCAGTACTGTACAGTATTGTGTGAAGAGGTTGCCAAATCGCGTGCTGGATCATGCTTTCATTTTCCAATTTATTCGGCGATAGATCGTCACGCTGAGGGGTTGTGATCACATCGGTTTCGCGATCGCTACGGAGCTGGAAAAGCTGTTCTGCAATTGGCACCCGCCGTGCAGCAGTGGTCCGGTGCCGAGTCTGCCAAAAACGCGTGTTTGCGACGAATATCTCATGGCCAGGTTGCCGAAGAATAAGTGAAGGAATCCGCTGTGACTCGGGGAGAAATTTGAAAATGAATCTCAATTTTAAAAAGTCAATTTCGGATTGTCAATAAAAAGTCGCAGAGAATGGTGTATCCAACGTGATTCCCACGCTCTCGCTTTGGTTTTTTATCTGTGCCTGGATGTTTTCTCTATTCAGTCGATTCGCCGAATTTCAGTTCGTGATATTCGAAAGGCAGTGTCAGTATGCATTTGCTGATTTCAAAATCCTGTGAAATTTGCTGGGGAATTCCAAGAGAATAAAAGCAATGTGTGCAGTCTTAGCACGTTGGAAAACAGCTTTCGTAAAGTTTGTTAAAGTTGAAGGATAATTGACGTAGCATTTCTCTCAACTGCTACTTTCTATTAGGAATTTTTTAAAGATGAAAAATTACGTTTATGTATGCTGTATCACTAGTAATTTAAGCTGTTGCATCTGCGGAGTCCAGAGAAGAAATCTTGAATTCTAATTAACTTCAGTCTCCATGTGATCACGCTACTAATTCTTAAATTTGAAACAGTGCATGAATTTCAGACTCAAACGACATAATTTTTTCCCGAGCTAATCCCTGGAGCATATGTGCATTCATTCAAAATATTTCAGATCTTGTTTTTTGTATGAGAAAAAATCGTGAATTTATAATAGTGATATTCTGAGTTGATAAAATGAGTGGCGGCATTTTTTGTAGGTTGTGTTTTTTTAAAGATGTTGGACAGTGTTATTTTGATAAGACGTGGTTGTGGAGAACTACTTCGAGGATGGTAAACACTCAGCCTATAAGAATATTAGAACGGATGTTCTTATGTGATAATTTTCAAACTGTCTCGCATGTCGTCTCTCTTTAATCTGCTCGCTCACGTTTTCCTTGAAATCAGTGCATTTCGTCGTCATGAGTGTGTTTCTTCGTAAAATCTATTTAGCGAAACTTGTAACAAAACAAATTTGTTTTCTGCCTTCTTGTTTTTTACTCCAGGACGCATCGAATCGTGTTTTCTAAATTTGGAACCAAGCGATTCGTGACGAAATTCTCTTTTCATTTTTGGACGATCGGTAACTGTAGTGTACGATCTTGGTCAGTATTAAGGAGGTGACCAGTGGACAGAAAAATAAATATGATGAAACAGCACGAGGACAACTACGAGAGGACAGTGGCACAGAGGATTCGTGAGCGAATCATGAACCATCCTCCTTACATAGACAAGGGTGCGAGGATTTTGAGGACTGGGTTCGAATTCGTTGCTTACATCATTTTCGCCCTCATTAACCGGAAGAGCCCGAAAGTCCACCTGCCCCCAATTAATGACGAGATCTTGCTGGATAGTGCTGTGGACCTCGCCAGGAAAATTCGGGAACGCATCGTGAGTTTTTGATCTGCATCTTGTTTCCCGTTGAGAGGAAAAAAACATCGTAAAAATCGATCCGATTAAGCGAACGAAACTTTTTCCGATATGCTGTATTTATCTGTAAATTTTTGCCTTAAGCTGATCCTGTTCGAGGTTTTGAGAGTGACCTCAATCGTTCAGTCAACTTTTACCAGCGTTTTACCCGCTTCTAGCTTGTTAGAATCTCGCGAAGTTTTATTCAATTTTTATTCCTCGACTGAATAATTTTCACTGACCTCTGAAATCATTTCAAAGAAATTCTGAAATTTTTGCTCTTGCCATAATTCGATGCAAGGAAATTCGGAAATGCGTCGATCGTGAGTTTTTTTTTCTCACGGAACACGAATAGTTGAAAAGGAAATTGAAACTTCAAGTTCAGTTTTGAAATCTGCTGGAGTCTTGTTCTCTCCCGGTCAGCAGTAATTTTTTTTCAATGGAACCCACTTCCGGTATTATGCAAAGCATCCGTAATCTGTACATTTCGTGGCTTTAGGCCTTCACGGACGTATTTAAAAATTTTGATCAAATAAATAAATATTTGACTGAAACAAAAATGATCAAGTTCTTGCGAGTTTTGATTCAGTCATTTCCAAGCCCACGACTTGTAACAAATGCGAATTGCATTATTCTGCCATCCTGAATTTTTCACAGATTTTGAAACCAGAAAATTGATAATTTTTTTCATTTGAACTTGTTTCCTTGAAAATGTTCAGCCTCTAAAAGCAAATTCGAACTTCAAATTCAAAGTCAATTTGCCGAGTCACATTTTACTTTCTCGTTTAAGCAAAAGCTCAATTGAAACTGAGGTTATTTGCTGTGAGACATTTCAAAACGAACGTCAGCTTTCAATTTACCGTTGCATTTTTTATGCTTTTGCTGATGATAGCAATAATTTTATTGAGTGCTGTATTTTGCACTAAAGCAGAACAAATTGTGTTGTTCCTTCAGTATTCTTGTGAGGATGTCGTGATTGCGTTCATGCAACGGATTCAAGAAATCAATCCCCTTGTCAATTGTGTGGTGGACGAGAATTTCGAGAAGGCTTTGGACAGAGCCAGAGAAGTTGACGACTTTCTGGACACCACGGACAAATCAGTGGATGTAATTGAAAAGGAGTTGCCCTTCCTCGGAGTGCCTTTTTCTTGCAAAGATTCTATTGCAGTGAAAGGTTTGCCCGCCGTCTTTTGTTAAATCCTCAGACACAGTATATTTTTGTTACCAGCTTTTTAAAATCCCATTTTCTATAGCCAGTCCAACATACAGTGAAATTTTTTTTGATTATCCTGGGTTTCAGCCAAAATGTTTCAATTGTATTACAACGAGGTATTCTTTCGTTTTTTGAATTTTCCAACCTATTCTTTTACGGATAGAGATGCAGTGATTCGACTTGCAGTGTCGTAAGTAGAATAATGTATTCTGAGACATTTCAGATTCAAGCTGATGTAAGTTCATTTATTTCTAACCTGGCTCATGTGCTTTGTTTCATCCTTTTAATAATATGGCGACGAAAATGCAATGTAACACAAGAATATCTATTCGTAAATAGGGCTGAAACAGACGATTGGCTTGATGTCGAGGAAGGAGACAGTGGCTGAGGAAAACGCCACAGCCATCAACGCTTTGGTTGAAGCTGGTGGGATTCCTTTGGCTGTCACGAATGTTCCTGAAGTTTGTCTCTGGTGGGAAAGCGTGAATCCTCTTCATGGTCGCACTCTGAATCCGTACGACTCGAGGCGGTTGGTTGGAGGTTCTTCGGGTGGTGAAGTACGTCTCTGTGCAGAAATTCAGTCCCAAAGAATCTTCAAAATGATTCCTCAAAACAGAATTCAAATTAAATTACTGTATATATTGAGTTACCTAATTTAGATTTCCTTGAATAGCTTGGATTATGTCGAAGAAATTTGATTTGTTTCTCTAGCATGTAGAATAAAATAAAATCGGATGCGTGAAACGTCCAATAAGTCAACGACGGTCTCGTTCATACTGATCAAACGTGAGACTACTTCAAGTGTGTTATTGATTTTTTTTTAAATCCGGAAAATATTTTCAGGATATAGTTTGTGAGTGTTGAGTGCAAGAGATGCAGTTGCGACGAGTTTTAGTGGTGGATTGGCAATGAAAGGGCAAACTACTGTAAGCAGCAGTTAGCCTGGGGCTTGCCAGGGATCTCGTAATTACGGATCTCTAAAGTGTCCAATTTTATTTGTCCCAACACCATAAACGAACAGCTCAGTTGTTGACTCACCTTAATGCCTGAAATCTGACTAATCTTCTTCTTTCAGAGTTTCATTTACTGTATTAAATTTTTTAATCTTCATCAGACTGATGCTGCCTTCACTTGGTTTTCCCGCTTTTCTAGGAATTTTGTTTATCAATAAATTCTGGATTGATGAAATATGCGCAATCCTCCAACACTATGTACTGTTTTACTAATTTAAAAAAAACGAGAAAATAAACGCTAAGAATTCGCGGAATAATTCGAGAGATGACGTGTATGGAAGTACAGTACATCAGTAAATTCCCTCTTCTGATTTCTTTCAATATGAAAGCGTTAAAAAATTAATGGCCCGCAGGATGAATCACGCCCCTGTTCTTGCATTTTACTTGAGAGTGCCACTTAAAAAACCAAAGCAGTGTAAAAAATTTGCTAATGCTATACTGCACTGTATATTTACTTATTTCATGTGTGTTCTCGTATAATATCAGGCTTGTTTGCTGACTTCCTGTGGATCGCCTCTGGGAATCGGATCTGACATCGGTGGCTCCATTAGAATTCCTGCCCATTTTAATGGCATTTACGGGCATAAGCCCACATTCAGCATTGTTTCCAACAGCGGATCGCTGCCGGATTTGCGCGGAGAAATGAATGAATTTTTAGTAATTGGCCCGATGGCCAAGCGTGCCAAGGATTTGCGCGCGACGTTGAAAATTCTTGGCGGAGAAGTTGGACGGAAAAAGTTGCAACTGGACAAAAAGGTTCGATGAAAAACACAATCCCCAAAAAAATTTGCTTTTTCTAATTGGAAAAATGTTGTATACCTAGGTTGACATTAAGGATATGAAGTTTTATTTCATGGAGGACGATGGGGGATTCCCCCTAATCAGCCCTGTTGATGGCGACATGAAAGGAGCTTTGTTCCGAGTGGTGAATCATCTTAAATCCCACTACGGAGTTGAGGTTGAACAGGTACGTTTATATTGTATAATCCCGCAATAAATACCGATATTTACAATAATTGCCATCGTACATTTCAGGTTTGCTTTTCAAAATTTTTCCATGCCATTGAAATGTGGAGTCTGAAGATGTCCGCGGTTGAAGAGGCTCCTTCCTTTTGCGAAGAACTTGCGAATCGGAAGGTATACTGTCTATTTCCCATGCTTTTTTGCTGATTATATTAGCTAAATATTGAATCCTTCTGTATATACACAGGGTGAAATAAACCCTTTCTGGGAGATGGTCAAGTTAGCCGTGGGAAAATCGAACCATTCGTTTCCTGCGATCGCTGTGGCGATGGCTGAGAAACTGGCTTATTTGCAAGCGGATACCAAGTACCAAAGGAAAATTATCGAAGGCTGTGATCTGTTGCGTGAAGAATTTCAGGTAAATTTGTTCTTGCGTTGCATGGAAAATGCATATTATGATAATCTTAGAGAAACTCAAAAAAATATGTTTTGGAATGAAATTTTACTTTGCAAGCTTGTTTATTAAACGCATTCCCATCATGCATGGCATCTGCATTCCGTTTCTCGATTTTTTTTTTTACCTATCTAATAAAAAATGATTCATTTGTTACAATGCTGCATGACGGAATTGCTGTCCTGCTTTAAAAAATCTGGAATAAAAAAAAATTAAATTATTTGATTGCGTCATTTTATGAATCCAAGTGTGGCATTTTATTGCAGCATCTGCTGGGAGAAAATGGCGTGTTCTTGTATCCATCGTATCCACATCCGGCGCTGTTTCATAACCAAGCCATGTTGATGCCTTTCGGATTTGCTTATCAATCAATCTTCAATGTTCTAAAGTTGCCTGTGACTCAGTGTCCTGTTGGACTGTCGAAAGAAGGTCTACCCCTTGGTATACAGGTATATATAGGATTTGTTCTTTATTGTGATGCTAGCATGTTTTACTTGTTGTCAAACTGTGTTGGGATGCTCCGACTGGTCTTTTTTTCGTTCTGAAGAGGCATTCAAAGTGCGTGATGTGTTTTAATGAAATCACCTGGAAATTTTTAAGGTTGTTTCTCGGCTCCACAATGATCACTTGACTTTGTCTGTGGCGGAAGCGTTGGAAGAGACCTTGTGCCAATGGGTTCCTCCTTGTGGCGTTGCAGTCGGTGAGAATTGAGTCTTCAAGAGGGAACGTCAAAACAAATTCAAGGTTGAGCTGGTCTCAAAATAATTTTGAGTGAATGCAATGAATGATTTTGCTTTTCGACATCACAAAAGAAAACAATGAACGTATCCAAAGATACCCGGCGTTTATGCAGAAAGAATTGTCGATTTGAATGTTCGGAAATCTCTGTATATTTTCGTACAGAGGAATAAAAATTTCCTTGGGAAGAGTGAAATATGCACCGGATATGTTCTGAATAAAAAGCAAAACCGTTTTGAATGTGAGAAAACTGAGTGTGGAGAGGATTGCATTGCTGAATCGATGGGAAGCGCTGCTTTGCAAATTTACATGTCGTTGGCTATTGAAAGTAAAGCTTGAAAAAAATTCGCATTTTTTCTGTATTTCGAATGACCTCGAAATTATTTTTTTTTTATGGGAAGGCAAGCGAGTACGATTATGAGCAGTGCATTTTTCCGAAAACAAATGAGCGACATCTAGATTTGCATAGCGCAAAAGATAACAAAACGTGCGGCATACCAGCCAGAATAAGACTGAGGTACTGTACCCGATACAGCGTAATCGACGCTTGCTTAGGATGGCGCCGTTCGTTGGACCCAGGACAGGGAAGGGCCAGCGTTGGTCATTACGCTGGAGCTGATTAGTGCGTGATTCAAAGTCACTTCAGACGGGGTTGGCTATGAGTCTATGATGCTCCGCTTTTTTTGGCGTTCTGCTTGAGTGAGACTGGAAAGTAGATCGAAGTGTTCGGATTCGGTGGTGGTCGTTGTGCGTACGAAATTTCAAGGTCGTATTCATATTTTGCTGTGTACGAAGGCGTCATGTCAAAGTTGAAACGCCGATGATTGTTTTCAACCCTCGGTGAATAATGTTTTGAGATAACGTGCGAACTGACACTTCCGCTGTTCTTCGGTGCCCTGCATGATTTGCTACTCAGTATGCCGGTGTAAGAAACGCCTCGTCATTGGTGTGTGGGATGATCAAAAAGTTCCGTTTCGTAAGTGGCTTGTAGTTGTCAAGGCTGCGTGTTGATGTAATTCCCCTAGTGTGAAATGTGCTCAATGCTCTGCAAATCATGCTTCTGAACGCACGCGGATATAGTCCTCGGCCTCTTGACCGTTTTCATGACGGAAATGTTATTAGGCCAAGGCGATGAGGAGTGTTTCTCTGGCCCTTCAAGTTGGATGGATTGAATTGCCGTGTTTCTTTCGGGCGTTGAGCTAAATCGATTCTCCGCTGATTCAAATTCGTGAGGGGTCGCACTTACCTTTCTGCTTGGAATTCCGATCACCGGCTTGGTTTCAACGATGTGGTCGTTCGTTCGCGCGTCTCTTACATTTTGCATTTTCCGCCTACCATGTTGTTACATTGCATGTGTTTTTTAGAAATCAGTGTTCACCGCCTTAGATCGAACTGGTCAGTTCTTTTCCAAATGCTCTATCTAAATAAACTGGTCATCTTCTGCTTGCGAGCGTTTTCGCATCGTCGTTTGTGCAGCCCCTTTTCGCTCAAGTTTTAGAAATGCAGATTTTCATGTTTTTGTCACGTCGAAAGCCGGGTAGTATTCTTAAACAGGTGAAGTATGCTCGATATTCACGCTGAGTTGTGCATATTGAGTGGCTTCACTCCTTGTTTCCACCGCGTGCGCGCATTCCTTGTTCTTCGTAATAAAAATTTAGAACGAAAGAAAGCGTTATTCTGACATGATACGAGGGGAGATCACTGGTTCCATGACGATTAGCGGACGATTTATGGGAAATTAAGTGAGCCTGTGTTCGTGTGAAACGTCGTAGTGCTCAAACGGATTAGAAGAAAGATGGGCCAGGGAGTTCGTATGCGAAGAGGTCCAACGGAACTTGAATGAGTGTACGGATTATGAGAGGCTACCATTAGATGGGAAGAAGCTATGTAGCTGCTGAAGTAGTGACTCTGGAGAGAGAGAGAGGGAGAGAAGAAAACATGTTGTGCAAGGATCTTGTCTTATGCATTATTATAGTGGCACGTTTTTAAGCCCAAAATCGACCTGGTTTGAAAAATTAAGTTTACAGTTGTAAATTTTCAGTGAATGTTAGACCTTTTGTCCATGGCAATAGCTAATATTCTTGGACGGGTATACTGTACTAGTTTTGTGAATACGATTTTTCAATTTTCCTGGAAATTCGAAAAATTTGTTTCTTAGACCTTGTCCAGTTGCCAGGGCAGATTGTTGAGATTTAAAGTTCACATAAGTTCAATTGTGTGCATGTTGGGAATCCATTTTTATGTGTTTCTCAAGGTCCCTTTAATATACTGTACTGTCCTTCAGCTGGAATGTTTTTCAAGTCTTAATATTGGAAATAATTTATGATCGATGATTTTCCGGTTTCCAGTGGTTTTTCGTACTGTACCAAAATTATTTTTTACAGTCCTTCTAATTCTTTCAGAATTATTGTCGTAGTATTATTTTGCATTCTTTCAACGCATCCCCAATCTGATCACCTTCATCGCTTCTCTTAATCCGGGAGTTGGAAGTGTACCTTGTTTTTAATCCTCGCACTTCTTCTTCCCGCGACTTGAAACCGTATTTCTTAGAGAGGCAGCTTAAGAATACAGTAAGCTGAATGAGATGTTATGTAGGTGGACTCTCCACAACAATCTTATCTTCAGCAATTTTCTCTTTACTGTATGACGCATTTTATTTGGTCCCATAGGGGCATAGGATTCTCCTCATAACTTATGAGAAGATATTCTACCTGTATAGGGCACATACTCATGAGGTCCAAAATCGAAAATTCTCAATTCGTTAGATGGTCAGAAGGAATGCATGCCTCTTTTTTTTTTGTTTGTTAAGCGAAAAATTGAGACTGAACACATGATCTCTTGAGAGCTTTTCCAATGTTAATAACTTGTCTACCTTATTTCCTCCTGACTGAGTCCGTCGTCAACATAATCGCAAGTTTAGATCAAACCTGTGTTTTTCGGTACTTGTGTGGTAAAACAGAAAGGCCTACGATCTTGTGAGTACGTTATTAATTCAGTATTACTGTTGAGAACTTCCCGCCAGAATTATTTAAACGATTTCCGTTGAGTTCGTAGGTGGCCAAGGTGAGATTCAAAGAAATTAGACCTGCCGTGTTTATCTAGAATTTTACCATCTTTGATAATTTCTGATTAAGTTTTCATCGGCAAGAATCTCCTAATGAATCCTCCATAATTGAAATTGTAAGTGTAGCAGAATAGAACCTTCGAAAGGATTTATCCTATAAAATTGTCTGTTCATCTTTCAGAATTCGATTTCGCATGTGCGGTCTAAGTGTCAACTCTTGCCAAAGCTGAGGTCACGATTATTTTCCGCTAAATTTACGACTTTCATTGCGTGAAGAACTTCATTTCGGGACGATGGCTGATCGTGAAGATAGCGTTTACAAAGCTAAATTAGCTGAGCAGGCCGAGCGCTACGATGAGATGGTGGAAGCCATGAAGAAGGTTGCCGGTCTCGAAGGAGAACTATCAGTGGAAGAAAGGAATCTTCTCTCTGTTGGCTACAAAAATGTGATCGGCACAAGAAGAGCATCCTGGCGCGTCATCTCTTCGATCGAGCAAAAGGAAGAAATGAAGGGTGCCGGTGAAAAGCTTGAAGTTATCCGTCAATATCGTAACAAAGTTGAGACCGAGCTGAAGGAGATCTGCGCTGACATTTTGAACGTCCTGGATAACAATTTGATCCCTGCTGCAACAACCGGTGAATCTAAGGTAAGATCTTTCATTTACGAATCGTGGTTTTACATGATACTGATGAAGTTGAGAGTTGATATTCAAGGTCAGGAAAATGTTTTCTAGTTACATTGTCGTCCCGAGATAGCCAACCCCCCACCAGTATTTCCTGTAATGTCTGTTGGGCCCGAAACCGAGCCCACGCTAGTAATTTGATGATTTTATGAACCTAATTCAGTAAACGACCTAGTCTCTCGTATATCGTGTTGAAACAACTGATATTTTCGTATTGCACTGGGGTACTAGGGCACCGGGCAGCTGCAGTTTCACATAACTTTGACGAACCGTTCTAGCTCTACATGCAGTTAGTTGCTCACAACTTCAAGACTTCTAGAGCGCACATACAATTTTGCTGGAAGGCATTTTGTTTCAATCTTTGCCTGTGTATTCGTCATCCGCGCACTGTAGACAAGTCATGAGATTCTGACCTTGTATCGATCCCTTTGTATATTGTTGCTGACTTTTCTAACTTGAGGTCCCCACCGCACTGACATCTAGTATTCCGTCGCTCGAATGGCCCCCTACCGACGTGCTACTCGATGCCAGATCAGCTAAAGTGCTGGTTTAGTGTAGCCGCTTAATTATTATGTGATCTAAACAGATAGTGAGCGAACAGGTCACCAAAAAGAAACGCTTCGAACGAGTAGATGACCGTGATTCGCCCGAGACGAGTGTGACGGAGAAACCAAATTATATAATGTAATTTTTTTTTACAGGTTTTCTATCACAAGATGAAAGGCGACTACAACAGATACCTCGCGGAGTTCGCCTCCGGAGACGACCGGAAGAACGCCGCGGAGAACGCGCTTCATGCGTACCGTGCCGCGTCCGACATCGCCATGACAGAGCTGGCGCCTACTCATCCGATCCGACTCGGACTAGCGCTCAATTTCTCCGTGTTTTACTGCGAGATCCTCAACAGCCCCGATCGGGCGTGTCGCCTGGCGAAGGCCGCCTTCGACGACGCCATCGCCGAGCTCGACACGCTGTCGGAGGAGTCGTACAAGGACTCCACGCTCATCATGCAGCTCCTGCGAGACAATCTGTCGCTGTGGACGTCCGATATTCAAGGAGAGAATGCTGACGGTGAAACACAAGAAGCAGTTGTTGCAGAGGACGCAACGGGTGTCGCCGCTGCCGCCGTCGAGGGTGCCTCATAATTCTGCGCCGCGTGAAAATTCGCTTGATCGATTACATGACAAAAGTCAGTTTTGATCGTGATTCGCCTGCTTTGTTTCCTTCCCCCTTGAGAATCGCGCATAATAATTGCCCGCCTTTTGATCTCCCGCACGCGGTTTCGCAGAATCTCAAGATGCCGACTTGCGATCAGAGACACTTGACTCGGTGTCGCATTTTCGTCGTGATTGTTCCTTTCTTTCTATATTAGCGGCTGGCCGCTGACGACACACAAAAGCTCGTAATCCGCTCGGTGTTTTATTGTTTTTTGTTTGTTTTTGTTCTTCACACGAAATGAAAAGAACAACTTGCCATTTTGAGTCTGCACTTCGCATTTCATCTCGAATCCAAGGAAGACGGTTTCACGCAATCTGTCGTTTCTTCCTCTTCTTTTCAAGTCTCTTAGAACATGTTCGCCCATCCAGTAAGATCACTCTGTTTCAACAGGTGCGCCGTCGGTCGAATCGCGAATTTCTCGTCTGTTGCAGCCATGGCCAGCAATAAGTTTCGCCTGCCCGACAAGTACCAGGGACTGGAGAAAAATGTTTGGTGAGTTGGGATCGAAATGGGGTGAACTTGATTCAATTCGTATTGACCTTCTTCAATGCTATGCAAGGGTGGAATTCATTCAGCTCGCGTTGGAGAACAAGCCAGTGAATCTCGGTCAGGGCTTCCCGGATTTTGCAGCGCCGGATTACGTGACCGGTAGTCTGAAAGATGTTGTGACTGGACCGGATGTTTTGCTGAATCAGTACACGCGTGGATTTGTGAGCCTTCATTTTCAAATTCATTCAGTTTGCCATAAGTTTCAGGAGAGACACGTATTCGATTCTGTAGAGAAAAATTCATGTCTGGAGTTATTTTCTGTGACGCTTTTTTTGAGTAGCGAAAAATTTGGTTGACGTCTTACTCAAAGATGCGTGGTACTTACGTAAATGTGGTACTGGTACTGTATTAAGTCAATTAACTTGATAGGTTTGGTGGGACTTAGTCACATTGATTTGTCATATCAGGTAATTTACGAGATAGAAAGTGGACAAGATCGATGTAGAGAGTCCTCCTTTTCTAGTAAGGTTTTTTTATTAGTCCTACGTCTTTTCTTGTGATAAAATGTTTGGATAACCTTTTTTTGGGCGTTCATTGTTTTAAAGGGACATCCAAGGTTGATTGCCGCTCTTTCTAAGCTGTATTCTGGGTTCGTGGGAAGAAATATCAACGGAGCAACCGAAATAATTGTGACGGTCGGAGCGTATGAAGCTCTTTTCTGTTCCATCATGGGGCACGTAAATTCTGGTGATGAAGTGATTGTGATAGAGCCATTTTTCGACTGCTATGAGCCGATGATCCGACTGGCTGGTGGCGTTCCTCGCTTTATTCCTTTGCGACCGGTGAGTCAAGTCGAATGAGAACAGATTTTTTGGGAACACATAGTTGCGTCCAACAGAAAAGGAAAGAAGGTGTTGTGCACGCCAGTGACTTCGTCCTCGATGAAGCGGAGCTGGAATCCATGTTTAATGAGAAGACGAAGGCGATCATTGTCAACACTCCGCATAATCCTCTAGGCAAAGTTTTCACTGCGGACGAGTTGCAGACGATTGCTAATTTGTGTCAGAAATACAATTGCTTGGCGATCATGGACGAGGTTTATGAGCACATGGTGTTCGAAGGACAAAAACATATCCGCATGGGTAAGTGTGGTGACCTGTGCTCTTGGTAGCGTGGGTTTTTCTTTTTAATATGAGGTCTCTGACTCGTAAATTTCGATGATTTTTTTATATTTCATCGTCCCCTAAAAAGGTTGTCTCAGTTGGACGCGACCTCTGATACATTTAGAGAAGATGTGATAGTAAGAAAAATAAATCGTGACAAAGCCCATAATGTTATAGGATTCTGGGATTTTTTTGAATTTTTTACAAATTCTTCCATTTACTGCATGGTGATTGCAGCCAGAGTTCTCCATCCATTTCTGAGGGTGCTGAAATTTTTGGCTATTTGAAATATTGACTTGTTTAGTTGCTTCAACCATAATCTAAAATTTAGAAAAGTTAATGGGTGAAAAAGGTCTCGTCCAACTGAAACCACCCTCGTAATCAGCTGATATGCAATCTGATGTTATCTCTTTTGAGATGAAATCCAGCAAAAATATGAATTAGCGTAGACTGCGTTGATCAATAGCGGAATTCGAGAGAATTGTCAAGCATACAATATTGAGTTATTAATTCAAGATAATCTAAGGATATTAGCTTATTCATTGCACAAATCGGAATAATAATTCGACTTGGACGCTCAGAGATTAAATTTCTTTCGTAGCGACTCTCCCGGGAATGTGGGATCGCACAATCACGATCGGCAGTGCGGGAAAAACGTTCTCTGTGACTGGTTGGAAGCTTGGTTGGGCGTATGGACCTGCGGAGCTGATCCGGAATTTGCAAGTTGCTCATCAAAACGCGATCTACACGTGTTGCACTCCGATACAGGACGCGGTTGCGCGAGCCTTCGAGTTGGAAATGAGCAGATTGTCTTCTCCGGAATGCTATTTCAACTCTATTTCGGTGGAGCTGCAGACGAAGCGAGATTTCATGGTGAAATTTTTGAAAGAGGCCGGTATGGTGCCTGTCATTCCTGAAGGAGGATATTTTATGCTGGCTAATTGGGAGCCATTGGGTGAGTTGATGTTTTAAATTTATTTCAGGTTTTGATTTACGAAATCATGTTTGATATATCGTACAGTATCGATTAATGTACAGTACTGGTTTTTTATCAGTTCTGTAGTGAAACATGTCGTCGAAAAATGTTTTTTTTTTCTGCAATACTGTAATAGATTAATCTTCATGATGAATCCTGATTTAATGTGTGAAAATATTCTGCCGTGTCCGTGACAATGATTATACATTTTAGCGGGAGTGAATGTCACTGGTAATCATAAATGTATTCTTGTTTTTCCATTAGTCTTCAGATCCTTTTTCGCATATGTGCAGAAAAAAAAAGCTCGAATATCATGGATCCGAGAAACGATTAAAATGTTTTACGAATCTTTCCTGCTTTAAGCTTGTTAAACCTTCTCGACGTTATTTTGCTTTTCCGCGTTCGTTTCCAAGTACTGTATGCTGTAATTACCGACTTTTCCTTGTGAAATCGTTCGCAATGTAGGGAAAGTGAGATAAAAGTATATTTCAAAGCTAAGATGTCGATAACACACTCCTGGAAAACTTCGAATGAGGCCGAAATAATACGTTGGTCTGAGTGCTGTAAAAATGTATTGTGTCTAATATTGCAGCGCCGAAACTGTTGGAGCACCTGAAAGATGAACCGGATCCCGAACTGGATTATAAACTCGTCAAGTGGATGTCCAAGCATCACAAATTGCAGGGAATCCCACCGTCTGCCTTCTACTGTGCAGATCACAAGAACCTTGGCGAAAAATACATCAGGTTTTGCTTCATCAAGGTGAGTTAAGTCGAAAGCTCGGATGTCGTTTACGTGCCTCTGTACGATTCTTCGTTCTGCAGGAGGATGAGAATCTCGAGAAGGCTGCAGAAATTCTTAAGCACTTGAAGTTGACACTGGACAGCAGGCTGTGATGTAATTTTAGAAAACTGAGCCGAATCGGAAGTCGGAAATACTCGTGTTGGGGGTTCATATGCATAATTTTTGCGCCGATGTATTTCATAGTGTATATTATGCTGTGGTGCTGAGAAAGAATTCACGATCCAATTGTGGGAGTATTTTCTTTGTCCAGCGTTTTATTTCTTAAATTCGCCGTCGGATTGTTTACATCGTGGCTGAATTCTTATAGGCCACCAACCTCTCAGCGTCGTTTTCACGTCTTATCGTAAATTCAAATTTAGTATTAACTGTCAAAATTTACTCAATTAGTTGCTTATAACTCATTATTAGCTGAAAAAAAATCAATTCAAAGGGGAAAATGCATTGTTTTGTCTCTCGGGTGTCATATCAGAGAAAGATTTGACGAGAGTTTTAGAAATTAGCGAAAGAAAGATTAATTTTAAAATTAATTCGATGGAAGATGTCATTCGCGAATTTCAATGTTGTACCTTCAAGTTCAACTGTCCGCTTGCATGTTTCTGTTTCACGTTGCATTGCTTCTCAGTTTCAAGCGTGTCGTCAATTGAAATTATTTCTTTATGCCTCTCAAGGAATTTTTTAGAACTTTCAGCTGAAATTTGCTTGCTTAAATTCGTATGCACTATTTCAATTATTGATTTTTTCATATTTTTAATGATTCTATGAATGCTTTCTTCTCTCCTATTTATTATTTTGATCAACCCAGCAATCGAACAATTTTTGAATCTAATCCTATTGGATCAATGCTTGAAGTTCAGCCATGATGCATCGAAATCGCTGTAACCCTGCATGATATGTTAATCTTGCATTCGTCGTGATTTTTTTATTGCAGGCACGTGTAGTGAAATGAAGCCTGGCTCCAGTGTTAACGAAAGGGATTTTCGCTGATTGGATGAAGGTTTTCAACAACTTTTTATTGCATGGTAATTTTTAAATCCTGAGGATTTATTGCAAGTTAGTGATCGTGTATTTAAAGGTGACCATCAATAACGGGAGGAAAGTAAATCATTCTTAACAATAACTGTCCAGATAGTAATACTGCACGGTACCTATGGATATTGAAAGCACACTTTTCTGATGACGCTTCATGCAGTATATGAGCTGTGATTCTTGAGTGGAGAACTAGAATAAAAATTTCCTGGAATAAATCTCTGAAAACGACAACTTCTGAATGCATTCAGTCAGTGCCATATCGGTGTGTCCATTCCCTTCACGGTGATGATTTTCTGAACGGAATGTGTCAGAAAACTTGTTATCCATAGAAAATTCCGGCATTATGGCTCAAATATGCGAAGGTCAATTCACAAGTTCTGTATAATTGTTGAACAGTAATGCACAAAAGCTATGTACTTGTAAAATCGGACCATCGTGCTTTTTGAAGTTATCCGATTGAGATGATATCCCGATGAATATTCTCGTATACGTATTGTAAATTAATTTTCAAAAAATATGAACGAGCCTTTTTTGAAACTTGCGAATACTTCAACATTTGTTGTGAGTGGGTGTAAATATAAACTATATGCAACGTTTCTGTTGCACAAATTTTTCAGTGGCTTTTTAATCGTCATTTCCGTGAATTAAGGCAAATGCATACATTAATTTCTGCGTTGTCGTAGGCACAACAATTTGTTTATTGAAAACAATTTTTTATAATTTTCATTTTCCATATTGAACCCATGCAACTTCAATTGATAAAATTTCGGAAGCAATGACGATTTTTTAAATCCTACATTTTCATAATGATACATCTGTTGAACAACCGAGAATGAACAGAAAACGGGCGTTTCGTCTAACGAGCAGCTTGTGAAAGCAATCAAAACAACATTAACCGATAAAATAAATGTCTTCCCCCCCCCCCCTTGCAATCATTCCTTATTATCGACCGTATATATGCAGGAATTCGTAATATTTATTGCAATTACTCACGTGTCCAATCTATGCTGCTGAATGGTTGTGCAGCAAAAGCCTTTTCTTTCAATTCTCCGATGATTAATAATGTTGAATCAATATACTGTAACGTCGTGTTGATTTTCAGTTTTCCTTCATTCTATGTCTGCACACGGTGATCGATTGATGAAAAAGCAATTTCCCGAGTGTCGCCGAATTTCTGCATGAATTTTGATGAATATATATTGTAGCGCAAATCATTCAGGACCCTAAGAAAAAGAAGAGGATTACAGTTAGCACCAAAAACTTGAATCTTGTATAGGCGGGCTATCAAAGACAAAATTAATGAGCAATTCTTCATCGACAGCGTGTTTACGGCACTTCCTTCTTTATTTCCCTTCTTTTCTTCTCTCTCTCTCTCGAGAGAAATAAAAAAAAGGTAGTGTCGTAAACACGCTGTCGATGAGGAATTGCTCCAAGTGACGGGTGTTGCCCAAGGGGAAAAGCCATGATGGGGAGAAAGTAGAAATGGAAACCGGGAGGCTCCAACCAGCATAGTGGGTGAAACCTTCAGTTCTTGCTGTGCTGGCGGCTTCTTAGCATACATTTTTTTGTGTGCCATGAGGGTACGTGTTCTGATGTGGAGAAAAGCACTTGGATGAATTAAAGTAGGGAGACAAGAATAACGAACCCCATTCAAAAAGCGTCAACCCTATACATGACCACTATTTGTTCTCTCGTTTTTTTTTTTTTTTTTAGTTATTTCAAAATGTTGGAGTCGATTTTTGAAAGTGACAGCATCATGGTGGCGTTTTTTGTGTGTGTTTCCGTTATTGTTTAAATAATAGCCAGTTCATAGGTGGGAAAAGAGTTTTTTCAATCAACTTCCAAATATTATGCTATGTCTGAGCAGAATACAAAATGGCAGTTTAAGAAAAGCTCACATATTATTGTGTTCGGTGCTACTTTTGGTCATTGGTACTTTTTGTGTGGTGGTTTTCCTCTTTCACTGTGCCTAAACTACAGGTGGACTCTCTCTCTCTCTCTCTACAAAAAAATTCAAGGAATCAGAAAATAATAATTGTAGAGAGAATTCCCCTGTAGAGAAAAATATGCACATTTTGTGGTGTACAGAGCTCCTATTGGTCATTGGCACTTTGTGTGGTGGTTTTCCTTTTTCTCTGTGCCTGAAGTACAGGTGGACCCTCTTTGCTACAAAATTCAAGGAACCAAAAAAAATGCATTGTAGAGAGAATTCTGCTGTAGAGAACCCCTGTAACATGGAGGTGAGAACCCTATGCTGGGATCTAAAAATTGTTATACAGAGAAAATTATTGTAAACAAGATCATTGTAGAGAGAGTCCACCTGTATAAGAAGTAAAGAACCCAGATAAAATACCTTTGAAAAATATTTTAAAAGATCCAATTGTGTCAGTTTTAAAAATGTTCTCATTATTTATATTCTGGATTACTTCATGCTCTTGGAAGGAGACTGAAAAAAAACATTTTCCATGCCAGCAAAAGTCTTCATCCATGTATGCAATTAAGTTGACTTTGGTGATTCGTGATTGGAATATTACTGTATAGTGATACTTGCAGTGCTGGAGAAAAAAATTCAAGATGGAAATACAGTATACCGTATACAGTGAAACGACTTACTCTTTTTTTCATGAACTGGTTTACTGCTGTATTTTGCTTTTTGTCCGGGTGCTTTTTTCCTCTTCACATTGCTTTTTTCTGCGCTCAGTTTTGCGTTGGTACTTTTTCTGTCCCATCTGTCTGAAAAAAAGTATCCATGACCATTTTCTTCAACTGTTTCCAACACTTCTCTCTGTATATGAAGTAATCTGTAGTATTGAGGATGTTTTTGTTACTATAGATTGAAAACAAGTCGTATGAGAAACGATTTGTATGCAGTAGAATAAATTGGGTAAAATATACACCTTATTTTATTTATTGTGGTCAGTGGCGCACAGCATTCATAATACAAAATAATTTTAAAAACTCTTTCTGGTCTGTATAAGTACTTTGTAAAAGAGGGCGTGAAGATGACCCGGGAGAAAACGAGATTTGGCGCTTTTTGGCGTGTTGCTTTTTGCCTGGATGCTTTTCTCATGGACACCCCTGACCCGGATCTCATGTGTCAATAATTGGCGCCTGTTTGCAATGGCCTTCACAATGTGATACTTGCCCTCGTTTTCTTGGTCTTCTTTCCTGTACGCGAATAACAGTCCGTCTTGAATCACGCGAGAGGGGAAATGAGAAACAAAGGGCTCGCTTGTCCTTCATTTTCCCGTTATTCAGTGCGAAGCAGCCAGCATGCAGCAGCAAACGAGAGCTTCTTTCCGATCGCTTTTTTTTTTTCATTTGCCTACGAGAAGAGTTTCTTGCCGAGTGGCATCTGAAGTGCTCGCAAAAACTGCGCTTGCAATTTTTAAATTAACCTTTGGCAGTGCTGCACATCTCAACTCTGATTACCCGTGTTTTGATCGACACGGCGATTGATTAACCAACGTGCTATACAAAATTCATTTTAGACAAAGTGATGAAGAACAGCAGTCAGTACATAGATATAATTTTAATCCTGACCTCAGATCGAGTTGAATGATTTTAGAACGGAATTGTTGAAAATTTTTGAACTGTTTCATGAGTGAATCGTCAAATTTTTCGTCATTGAACATGTGTTTTATCAAATGTCGAATCAGTTGTGATGCAGTGTGTTATGCGGGCTAATGTGCTTCACGATTTGTGGAATTGACATTTGAATACTGTATACTGTATGCCATTTTTTTCTGTATACATGGATGTCCTATGTGAAGGAATATTCTTGATCCCTTCTGAAGAAAGCATAAAGAAAATTATTAACATTTTTTCTGGAGTGGCAGGTGAGTTAAGATTTATCCACAATTGATCAACAGAAAAGCCTTAAAATTCTTACTTATAAAGGGAAGTTCGACTTATTGGGTTGGTTCAACAGCATAAACATATTTTATGAGTATTTTGAGATTTCAGTCTTTTGAATGTGCATCTCTCTTTTTTTGATAACCCAGTGACCTAATTTTCTGCACGCAAATTTAAGTTTCCTTAGTACTTTGAACGTATCCTGATTGGCTGTGATTCAAAATTAGAAGGATGCGTGTTTTACGTTCTGCAGTACAGAAAAATAGGGATTAACGTTTAAATAGCTCTGCCACCAACTGTTAAATTGGTTTCAGTTGCTTTCACAATGCTCTTATTTAATTCAATTTGGATTATACAGCACTTCAAATGCAGTTTTGTATCTTACACAAGAATGATTCATCACTTTGAGATTTCAATCAAAGGAATGAGCTTCATTTTTCCATGATCCCATGAAATAGCATTGTGCTTGAAAGTCCATGACAGGGCATATGAAACGCTATTCACTCCGAAAAATATCTTTAGCGTTATGTATGAAGTAGTTTTCTGATTTGACTTTAAAAAATAAGGATACGTTGAAGAATTTGTGGTGGACTTTTCCTCGTTAAAATTATGGGAAAAATTTTTCCTTGTAGTGCGATTTTCTGTACTGTAAACGGCTTTTGATTCCTAAAAACATTATTAGCGTTGTGTATGAAACACATTATTATTTTTATTTGACTTTAAATAATAAAGGTGCGTTTAAGAAATTATGGCGGCATCATATCTGCTGCCTTCCGATTTTTTTTGCGTTAAAATCATGAAATAATTTTGTATACCGTATACAGTGCGAGTTCATGTACTGTAGGGCCGCGCTATTATAATTCTTGAATTTCCGATGTCGATGGATTTTCCGCATGAATTTCATGTGAACACGATGAGCTGCGTTTTGCATCCGCGTTTTGATGTCGATAAAGTGTTTGGATTATGGCGGACATGGCGTCATTTCCCCCCTTTTGTTAGTATACGACGTCGTTCCCCGAAGGGTGCACTTTCGCTTCACAAACGTCGATGCCGTCGTTCATAATATTTTTGTTTTCAATCGACGCGTGAGTGTCGCGATATATATTTATGATCACATGTGGCGACGACGAGTGATCCTCTGTTCCGGCGTAACTTGATAATCTTCAGTGCTGTGTGAATGACGATAATGTTACGCATTAAATTATTTTTAGCGAAAAAAGGGCAGACTTGAGTTCTATGTATAGAAAAGAAGGGGCAAATATTTCTGTTGCGGGTTTTGCATGAAGTGATGTAGAATTTGCGCGAAGAAAAATCCCTTTAAGCGTGCATCCGACTCACTCCTCAATACTTGCTGTCGAAATTTGCATATTATTCAAAACCTTGAAACACTTTATCCTTTATGAAGAAGTTTGACAACTTCTGAGAAATTCGACTGCGGTTCTCAGTGATTTTTCGTCAGTTGAAGAGGTGAAATATGACCAGATGCATTATCCATGTGATGGAATTACACGAGCAGTCTCTTACGGGAATTTATGAAGAAGCACAGAAGTATCATAACTCGGATTATCTCAAGTCAAAGTTCATAATAAAGTGACTCTTTGTCATAATTAGAAACGTTGTTCCATAGAAGCGCCCTTTTCTCAGATTTTAGAAAACTCGTGGGCAAAAAATGTGCTGTTTGTCCAAAGAGAGAACTTTTTTGTTTGTTTTGAAAATATAATTTTTGATTACTTCATCCAGTCGTCTCGACGGGTAAATGTTGCCTCAACTTATCTTAAAAGTTCCGGGGAAAGGTGTGAAATAGATTCCAGATTTCCTGAGCGATTAATTTTTTAAAATATAAGTTCATGCTTTCAATTGTAGTTCCAAACATTTTCTTGAAATTCAAAATCTCAACTACAGTATACAGTATAATTAATGACTATCGAGTTTTCTAGGCATGGGCTTGAACAAGATTTCAAGTGAAATAATTTATCTTGCATTTCTGAAAAATATTGCGAAGATATTTGTTCTGTTGGAATGAAGCTTTAGAAATGCATTCGTGAATAGTTTCCGTATTCTCCTTATTACGGTAATTTACTTGATTGCCAAATCGTAATTGTTCAAGCCTGAGGTAGAGTGAATAAGATTTTTCGGGAAACACAATTTTGCTTTTGGCCGTCTTTGCTTCTGTTCTGCCTTTTTTATTTCATTTTTAGAAAACTATTGGATCAAAACATTTTTGTACACAAATATGGCATAAACATATTGTATTTTAATCTGTTCGACGAGAGTTACAAGAAAAATGCTGGCAGATTTTGAAAACGCGTTTCACAAGACGGTAGTTATTTTCAGCTCGGGGTTTCAAAATAATTTTCATGAGCATAAAATCCATGATCACATCGCGTAAACCCATCCAATTTTGTTTTTAGAGCTTGAATAAAGATGTTGAAATTGTTTCAAATTAAGGCTTCATTTTTATTTCACAGTGCGATGCCTCGCAGCGAAAAGCGATAAATGGGTTCCCCGCGTCGGTTTCGTAATGCGGAACCCGGAAATATAAAACGTGGGTTTCGTAACCCTGGAAAATACTGCCGTCTTGCTGATTCAAGACGAAGAAACTCTTCCGCGAAAATTTCGCTTTTGGCCTTCTTTGCTTCTAATTTTTTTTTTTACGGTCCACCCGTCAGCCGTTATGATTTTGTTTTACAACCTAGTAATAATTTTCATTATGGTTTAATTTTCTCTGAAATATCTTTTTTCCCCCAACATCTATCCACTAGAATAGGGAAGATGGAAACCTAAGAATCAGCGTAATATTGCGAAAGAAAATGCAAATCGTCTGCAATGGGAAATATCCCAATTTTTTTTTTGCAATTAAATTATGGCATACTTTTGAATACAAAATCTCTGACGAAATCTGCAATAAAACCTGCGGCGAACATTATTTCAAGGGCTGAGTGAAAAACTCTTCAACCGTGCTTTGGGTCAACAGTGGGGGGAAATTTATTTAAAAAAAAAAATTGAAACTATCTCGTTCATGCCATCTGATCCGACTACAGTACAGGCAATCTTTTTTTTTTCATCTAGTGTGAAACTTTCGTTCCATTTCAGCCATTCACAATATTTCTTCGCTTGAATCATTTTTTCAGAGAGGATTCACTCATCCTTCCCTTTGAGCAAAGAAAAAAATTGAAGAGTGCAAATTTCATTTTTGAACCATGTGATCAGGAAATTGCGGATCAATGCATTTTTTTCTCTCTACAAAGGAGGGGAAATTTCTCTTCTGTAGAACTTACCAAGGTTAGTCGTCGTGAAACACGGGAATTTTTCTAAAATTTTCCAAGTACTGTAGTACAGGGTTTGATGAAAAATTCTTCACGATTTCCATGATTGTTCCATGACTTTCTTTGCTGCAGCAAACCATGATACAGTATGACCAGCTCCACTTTCGTTGAAGTTTTCCCTGTTTCATTTTAAAAGCCGAGTAACTGCAAAAAACGATTTATTGTGAAATTGATTTTATTTTCAGGACACCTCTTATATAACGTGTTGTTTTGTGAAAAATAAGAAAGAAAAATGTGCGGCATTTTCGCGTATATCAATTATTTGACCCCGCGCACCCGACGGGAAGTGTTGGATTTTCTCATCAAAGGTCTGCAAAGACTCGAATATCGAGGCTATGATTCCGCTGGTGTCGCCATCGACGGTGATGAATGTCCCAGGTAATTATATTGTAGCATTTAAGTTTTGATATTACAGTATTATTTGTTTGTTCGTATTTACCCGACTGTAGACAGACCGCGTTTTTACAAAATTGTATTCGAACTATAGTACGCAGAAATTGCTGCAGTCCATCGCAGAAGAGTTGGGCGGTGATATCCCTTGGCAGAAAATTTGCGAAATGTCTTGTGAAAGTCTTGGTTTAATCTAAATTTCCCACTCCGCAAAAAAAAAAAACTATGAAGATGTCACATGTACAGTACACTCACTGTCAATATTTAAGAGTGGGAAGTAAAAGGATTTATCCCAGCGAAACTCAGCAACGAAATTTGCATACCGTTAAATTATTTCAATTTTCCAGTTTTCACATCCCCATACAATAAACTGCGTCTTATTTTACAACCCCGTATTCACTCGAGTTTCACGCGCATGTTTTTTTTTCGAAATTTTGAGCAAAGAATGTAGGTTGAGTGTGATTGGAGAGTAAAAAATGTTAATGATTGTGATAAATTCAAGTGCGCATCATTGGCCAGTCACTTGTATGAAATTGTGAATCTTCAGAAAATTTATGCGGAGATAACTGAAATTAAAATTATTAAAGCAGGTGAAATAAAACATAAGACGATGTAAAACAAGACCAACAAAGGATCAGTCGAATTTAGGTTCATTTTATGGCTCTGAATTCAACTTTTCCTGCGTTCTTGCAATGTTAAAACTTTTCATGGACTCAAAAGTGGAAGTTTGTCCTACTTGGGCGCGACCTTGGTTATTTCTAAAATAGCTATGAGTTGGCAAAAATTGATACAGTATAGCCCATAATTTTGTGAAGTTCTGGAATCTTTTATTTCATTTTTAAAAATCGTTTCAATTTACTGCTCAGCATGATGATACATTAAGTGAAAACTTTCCAGTAACAGTCTGAGTTCTCCACCGGCCTGTGTCTCAAGGTTCTGAAAAATTTTCAGGTCAGCTAAAAAAATAATTTTTAACCATAATCTTTTCTACTTTTTAGATAATTGTTGAAACAACAAATTCATTTCAATTTTCAGCTGGCTTGACAATGTTTAGCTCCATGTTAGGCTGCTACATGTGTAAGAGAACGCTGACCATTACTGAAAAGCTTTCACTTATCATCATGCAGTAAATTGAAAAATGTTTCTAAAATTCTGAAAAAAATCCCAGAGCCTTAAACCTTCATGGGATGTGTCATATATATATTTTTTCACAGTCATATACCCTATAGAAATAACCAAGGTCGCCCCCAAGAGGGACAACTCACTCATTACAGTCGAAGATATGTTTTTCTCAAAATTAATTTTAGGCCTACGAATTGAGATGCTCGCTTTATTTAGATGAGGGCGCCTGGTATACAATGCTCGCGTAATTACGTTAATTACTGTTGAAATTTGCCCGTCATTCCCGCCCTGATTCGTTTTTCATTTAATTTTTTTTTCCAGCGTGCTGAAGCAGACGGGCAAGGTGAAGGCCCTGGAGGACCTCATCACCGACCAGGCCGCCACCCTAGGCATGGACACGCTGCACGATGTGCACGTGGGCATCGCCCACACCCGCTGGGCCACACACGGAGCACCCTCGCCCACCAACGCCCACCCGCAACGCTCGGACGTCGGCAACGGGTTCCTCGTCGTCCACAACGGCATCCTCACCAACTACAAGGACGTCAAGAAGTACCTCATCACCAAGGGCTACTCCTTCGAGTCGGAAACCGACACGGAAGTCATCGGCAAGCTCTGTCATCACCTGCATCGCAAACACCCCGACTACTCGTTTCGCGAACTCGTGGAGCAGGCCATTTTGCAGCTCGAAGGCGCCTTCGCGGTCTGCATCAAAAGCAAGTACTTTCCGGGCGAATGCGTGGCGACGCGACGTGGCAGTCCGCTGCTCGTGGGCATCAAGTCCAAGGACTCGAGGTACGCCACGGCGGACTTTATCCCGATCGTGTACTCGAAAGACAGTCGGCCGAGGTCTGCGTCGGGCTCTGTGCTCGTCAAGCGCAACGAGTCCACGTCGGAGCTGCTGCTGCCGGAGACCGGGACTGCGGAGATTGAGTACTTTTTCGCGTCGGACGCGAGTGCCATCGTGGACCACACCAAGAGGGTTATTTACCTCGAGGACGACGACGTGGCCTTTGTGCGGGATGGCTGTCTCAGCATTCACAGGTTTCTTGTTTGTTTGTTTGTTTGTTTTGTTTCCCCCTCTCTTTCTATCCTGTTTATTGCTCTCTTGTTGTTGTTTGTCCCACACGGCGCTGTTCCAGTAAAATCTCGTTTAAAAAAAAAAAAACTCCTTGAGTAGCTTCAGAAAAATTGTACTACAGTATAACGAGATTTTAAAAATAATTGACCGGGAAGATTTTTTAAAGTTAAGCCTGCAGATATTCAAGATCTTACTTTCGTGGCCTTTTCAGATGTTCTTCCACATTTGTTCATGTGTTCTTCAAAAATAAATTAAAATGTTAAAAACAAACATTTACCCTGAAAAACAGATGAACAGTAGCACCTTTTGTGGACTTCAAGTTTTTTAAAGCAATTCCTGCGCAGATTTGTAGGGGTGGATGTTGCAAAAAAGCTTACCGTTGTTATAAGCATCAGTAGGGTTTCTCAAGCATCCAAAACCCCTTAGAACATACGTTTTGCTGGGTTCATTTTTTTTTTTTTTTGGTCTAACCCCACCCTTCATTTTTCGAAATTTCAAGTTATCTATGTCGGGGTGCCTTTATTTTGGGATCTCACCATAATCCCTGAAAATACCTGTATTTGCTCAAGTATAATACCATCATCACACAGTACAGTCAGGGCCGGATTAAGGTGGGTGCTATTGATGCTGCAGCATTAGGCCCGCAGGAAAAATGAGCCCATGGAGAATTTGAAAAAATTTCTCAATTTGGGAAATCCAAATTTTTTTCAATTATGAAACTCTGGCAAAAACAGGAAAGAGGCAAAAGTTTTCATGATGAAAAAAATACATTTTTCTGAAGTGATTTCTTGCTGGTGTTCAAAAAATTATGCTTTTTTATTGCAAAGGAGAATTAGGCCCATTTTTTGTGCAGCATCAGGCCAAAATGTGGTTTAATCCGGCCCTGAGTACAGTACCTTATTTGAGTACTACACTTACTATACGAGGGTTTTTCAGTCAGCATTTTTAATAAAATTGCAGCCCTGAGAGTAAGACGCGCACACCATTTTTAGCAAATCTAATACTGTAATATTTCAAAGACAAGTACAGTACAACAGTATGCACCCAAATTTGAAGTGAAACATGTGCTGAACCTTTGAAATAAGTTTTTTTTTTCTGTTGCACTTGGTCGAAAAACAGATTAAGAGATCATGTGAAATTATGTGCGTCTCTCTTTTCTGAAAATTGTAGAATATATGGAGGAACGCGGGTCAGTGAAACTTTCAACGGGTATTTTCTATTTTATGTTTGCTATTGCTCTGGTGTCCCGCGAATTTTAAATTTTCGGCACGCTCGATTCAGGCTTTATCTTAAAGTGCATATGTGATAGATGAAGTTGAGTTCTGTTAGGTTTTTTATTGAAGCTGTTCAGGTTAAAGTGATTATATGACGTGATGGTCCCTGCTTTATTCGTGAAAAAAGGGGGGATTCGATCCGTTATTCTCATGGTTTGCATTTTATCATGTCATTTATATACTTTTGGATTGTTCTTGAAGCCACAGTGTCAACTCCTCTTTCACAATTTCCCCTCTTGCTCAAGTCCAGTAAATTATTTCAGTCTGACTATAGGTTCCCGTTGTTTTTCTGGCTATTTTAATCAGGCTGAGCAGGAACGCTGATGGGGGACCCGTGGACTTGGGCCCGACGTCCCGAGAAATCACAACCCTCAAGCTGGAAATACAAGAAATCATGAAGGGAAAGTTCTCGTCTTTCATGCAAAAGGAGATCTTTGAGCAACCCGAGTCCATTTTCAACACCATGCGAGGAAGGGTGAATTTCGAAAAGGGCACCGTGACCCTGGGTGGGGTCAAGGATTACATCCCCGAGATCAAGCGCTGCCGGAGGCTGTTGCTGATTGCTTGTGGTACCTCGTACCACTCAGCCATTGCCACCAGGTTTGTGCAACTTTCTTTGCTCCTTCGAAACCCCCTTTTTTCTTCTATTCTTAGTGTGGGCTGCGTGTGGTAATATCGCCGACAGGATGCTGATGGCAGAGATGTTGCGCGATTCCGAGATGAATATAAATCAGCGTTTGAATGTACTGCATGCATGTAGCTGTTGACTTTCACAATTCCCCGCCCAAATGACTGTTGACTTATTGTGCAATCATCCCCTTACACAACTATATACTCATTTTCCAGGATTATAGGATAGGCGAGTTGTCTGAACATGTGCGCACGAAAATCCTGTTTGGCTCATATATTTGGATACGTTGAATATCATATACAGTGCAAAAATTAGAAATTACTCAAGTCTGTCCAATTTGGTTCTCAAGTTGTTGAAATGTTCTCTACTGTAAACATGACCCTTTGAGTCCTGATCCCATCAGAAAATCAGAAGGGATCATACAATTAATTATCACTTGTCCCATTGTCCTCTGAAGTTTTTTGGTGGTGCACAAGTATAGTAAATAACAGAGAGTTGGGGAAAAATTATTTTTACAGAAGGTTTATGTTTAGTGAGATTTATGGTTTTCAACGCATTTATGACTCGGCATTTAATTGGGCATGGGTAATAAATGTTGTTACACGCCTCTGTAAGTGATATTTCTAGACTTCTAATCATAATTTCTCACTGTCTTTCATGAATTTAAAGGAAATAATTCAAGGAGCTTTTCTTTTTTCAACTTTAATTGTTATAACAAAATGCACATCAGATCTTCTAGAAAAAAAAGTAATTCTTTAAAAGTAACTTTTTCAAGCACATCAGTTTGTTCTTTGAAAAAAGGAATTTTCTTATTTAAATACAGTTCATTTTAATGAAAAGAGCAATCACGAATGAATGAGAAAAATCCGCGAAAAACATTGTGCCGTGCATTTTCTGCAATTCTAAATGTATTCCCAAAAAGCTAAAAAAAATAAATAAAACTGCTGGTACCAAGAAAAAATCGTTATAACGAGATATTTGGGAAACTTCAGAACCTCGATAACGCGCCCTTTCTCCATGTCGAATTCTTTTTCAAGTCCCTTTCTGAATTGCTTTATAGAAATAATGGATTAAAACCTCCCTAAATCAATGGCCATCCCGCTCAAACCTCCATAAAACGAATTTTCTGGAGGCTTTTCAGCCATCATTTTATCAACACTGGAAAGAGAAAATAAATAAAATAGTAAATTGATGCCATTTATTGAAATGAAGTGGAATAATTGGACAAATGAACCCTTGCCTTCAAATTCAGCATCCTTTCAACTCATTTAAGAAACAATTTCAAGTCTAATACCACCAATTACAACTTCCTGTAAAACTTCTTTATTCCCCCCACCCAACATAAATGCTCGTTTCCCCAACTCAAAAGCTCCCAATAACTCGATTGTTTTCCCCTTGAAGTACGACTTGAAAGGTTCAAAAGTGAAAACAAAAAAACGTTACATTTGAAAGCTTATGAAATTCAAATTATTTCAGAGTAATTTTTCTTTCCTCAATCTTTTTGAGGTACAGTACTTCATTTAATCCCGCCTTTTAAAATTTTGAGAAATTTAATTTTAAGAATCTCCTCGATGGTAACTTTTTGAAAATTTGATCTTTCTTAAATTCGATTTTTGTCTAATTTATGCTCCCTCACAGTCAAACGATTTGAGATTATTGCTGTAAATGTGAGATTATTACTATACTACACTCTTCTCCTTCCTGAATCCCCAGAATAATATTCAAAAGGAATCTCGAAATTTGAGTTATTGGAGGGTATAATAGAGGGGAAGTCTTCGAGGTTCTAAAGTTTTTGTTACATACTTCTCAATGGAATTCAGGCATGGATAATAAATGAGAATAAAAAAAATTTAAAAATAGGGAGATGTTTCTGGGTATATCAACCCTGATTATACGCGTGTATACTCTAATGGCTCTGTGACTCTCCGGCAAACATCTCAGACAGTTGCTGGAAGAGCTGACGGAGCTGCCTGTCATGGTGGACCTGGCCTCGGACTTCCTGGACCGCAACACGCCCATCTTCCGCGACGACGTCTGCTTCTTCATCTCCCAGTCCGGCGAAACGGCGGACACTCTGATCGCATTGCGTTACTGCAAGGCCCGCGGGGCCCTGGTCATCGGCATCACCAATACCGTGGGTTCCAGCATTTGCAGGGAGTCCATTTGCGGAGTGCACATCAACGCCGGGCCGGAGATCGGAGTGGCGTCCACCAAGGCCTACACGTCTCAATTCGTGTCCCTGGTCATGTTCGCCTTGGTCATCTCCGAGGACCGCATTTCGTCGAACCCGAGGCGCATGGAGATCATCAGGGCGTTGCGAGACTTGCCGCAGCAGGTGCAGCAAGTGCTGGACCTGGATGACCAGGTGCAGGAATTGGCCAAGGAGTTGCGCTTGCAGAAGAGCATGCTCATCATGGGCCGCGGATACAACTTTGCCACGTGCCTCGAGGGTGCACTCAAGGTCGGAATGCTGTAAAAACAGCAATTTTACGTTTCTATAACTAAAAGTCAGATTCTGTAAAAAGTCGACCCGGCCGTTCAAGTGAAATTTCAAGGAACCAATAAAAAATTCTCCCAAAGTCAAATTTTTTGTTTGTCCCTGCTGGGAAAGAAGCATTTTTGTCGTGGAAAACATGGAAGAATTGGAAGAAACTGTGGATGGTGATATTTTGGGCCCTGAAAGTGTTTCTTAAATGAGTTGACAGGATGCTGAACTTGGAGGCAGGGGTTCATTTGTCCAATCAGTTTTTCCCTTCCTTTTAAAAACATTCTCAATTACTTTTTTATTGCTTTTATCTTTCCTGTGTCAAGAAAATAATGGCCAAAAGTCCCAAAAGGGCTCAAAAAATTGGAGTTTTGGAGGTTTGAGAGGAAAAGCCTTTGAGTTAGAGAGGTTTTTAATGCAATTGTTTCTTAGGGAATTCAGATGGTGACTTGAAAAAAGTTGACTTAAGGTCGAGGTATTCAACTTATTAGGCAAGTTCAAGTTATCAAGATTTAACTGTATGCATATAGCAGTGGGGCCCAACTCAAAACTGGTGGTGGGCCACATGGCAAGGAAGATAGTGTTTGCAGGCCATAAAAAAAAAAGTATGGCTTATTTTTGCAAAAATTTTAGGCAAAGGGTTCCAAAAAATTTAAAATTTCTGAATTTTTTTGCAGTGCAAGCTACAGTGCATTGAAAATGGTCAAATTGATTCCCCAAGAATTTCTAGAAATTTATTTTTGTGAGTTGGAGTTGTGAGTTGGATTGACTTGTAGGTTCTCAAAATTGAATTTTTTGGTGGCTGTCATATGGGCCAGACAGGAATGCTTTATATACAAGCCAGATAACATATCTTGGGCAACCCTATAGGGACACACATGAAAATTTGAATTACATAAGGTTGCTGAGCTGGGGTAAAAGCCAGCATTCTTGCTGGAGAAAAAATAAATAATGAACCACAAGAAGATAAAATAGAGCACCTTTTTGGCCTTAAATTGCTGGATAAATGAGTTGACTATGGATGCTGCATACTTGGAAGCAAAGTGCAGTAACTTTGCCTAATAAGCCAAGCAGATTCTTTTCAAGAGCATTGAGCTAAAAAAAATTGGCGCAGTTGCAGAAAGTTACATTTTTTCTTGTGTCCCCAGAATAATATTCCCATGGTATCTTGAAATTTGAGTTATGTTGGAGGTTTGAGGGGGGATTTTTTGAGTTTAGGAGATGTATATACACAACATTACACTGTTCTCGAGGGAATTCAGACAGGGGGTCAGTAAATAAAATTGGTATATTTGGAGGTTGTCAACTTGGGGAAACCCGGTTGACTTATATATAGCTCTGATATGCTTCTATGTGTCTTTTTTTCTCTCCCATTCCTCCTGTCGTCTCCCCGCGTATGTTATTAATCATTCGTCTTCATGCACATGTATAATTGTGCGTTTATATATGTTGCAGGTGAAGGAAATCACGTACATGCACAGCGAAGGCGTGTTGGCCGGCGAGCTGAAGCACGGTCCCCTGGCCCTGGTGGACCACGACATGCCGATCGTGATGGTTGTCATGCGTGACCCGGTGTACGCGAAATGCGTGAATGCCCTGCAGCAAGTGACTGCTCGCGAAGGTCGTCCGATCATCATCTGCGAAAAGGGAGACGAGGAGACCAAGATGTTTGCCAAGGCCGCGTTCGAGATCCCGTCGACCGTCGACTGTTTGCAGGGCATCTTGTCCATCATTCCGCTCCAATTGCTCAGCTATCACATCGCCATCTTGCGCGGATGCAACGTCGACTGCCCGCGCAATCTCGCCAAGTCCGTCACGGTCGAGTGAGGAGAATAATCGAGGACAATAATCACGCGTCTTGAGAAGGCCGAATATTCATGATGACAGTCACTAATATACGGAATATATGATATACGAGGGTTGGTTCATATAAGTTCTGAGACTTTTTGAAGTACTGTACACATCCAACGTAGTTTCAATAACAATTTTGAAGAAATTCACTCGCATAGCCCCGTCGTTTGACAAACCTTCAGTGCTGTTCAACATTTACTCTCCGCGAATTTCAGTGCATTTTTTCATGCTATGAAACCAGCAACAATCTAAACAGTGCCGAAAATCGAGTTCCGTTGGTTATTGCATGATGACACCATCTTTGACGGCGGAAATGAGGCTGTCCCTGTAATCAAAATCAGTACCTTTCAGGTCATTCTTCATTTTCGGGAACAGCCGGAAGTCACTGAGGGCCTAATCAACTACAGCATAAAAGCTATAACACACGTTAAAAATTCAGTGAAATCGGCGGAGAGTATGTTGAACTGCGCTGAAGTGTTGCCAAATAATAGGACTGTGCGATTATTATTTTTTTATATGTTGGAACTCTGTTGAATTTATTCCAAGCATCTCAAAACTTATTAACCAACCCTTTTGTCATATTCCACGTTCCAAAAGATGGAGTAAGGAGAAAATGCTGGGAGGGAATAAGAGTCGCCTTGAATAGAATTGTCCCACCTGCTGGGCTCAACCTTGCTTATTTTTACATCAGGTATGACTGCAAAAAAAATATGATGTATAGCTCATGAAGTTCTAAGGTTCTGGAATTTTTTTTTGGATTTTTACAAATATTTTGCAATTTACAGCATAATGATGAGTGAATACTTTCCAATTATGGCCAGAGTTCTCCACCCATGTCACAGAGGGCTAAAAAAAATTTCTGGCTAGCTAAAAACTTGAAATTTTGTTGTTGTTTCACCCATTATCATTTCTACCTTGTAGATAGTGGTTAAAACAAAAACAAATTCATTGTTTATCATTCTGGAACATGGGAGGAAAACTCTGGCCATAACTGGAAAGTTTTCACTTATCATCATGCAGTAAAGGGACACATTTTTTTTAATGCGGAAAAAATCCCAGAACCTTGAAACTTCATGGGCTGTGTCATAGTTTTTTTATTTTTGCAGTCATGCCTAATCTAGAAATAACCAAGGTCGCGTCCGAGTGGGACAACCCTCGTGTTCTGCTGAATCCTTGGTTCAAATATGCTGATGACGTATTGACTTCCCTATATATGCATGCAGTCAACTTTTCTCACTGGCATTTTTCTTTCCGGACATTTTCTCCGTGCTGGCATTTTCTCGTGGCTCCTCTGAAAGAAACCAGCTGCGATCCCAATTACTGTACAGTATAAGACTGATTTAAGGACATTGAGGGCTAATAGGTCGCACATTTTCTCTCCGAGAAAAATAACCCAAATTTTTTTGTATGTGGCCTATATTTAGTGCTCATTTGATTATATGACTCGCTGCATTCGTACTTTATAGAGATTATCAGGAAAAATTGTTTTAATCCTGATTTTTTTCAATTTATTTTCAAAAAGGGCTTGGGTACATTTTTCGGTTCTCAAAAAAGGCTCATATGCCTAATTAAAGTCCAGTTTTGAAATGAAAATTGCTGTTACACGTTTTTCGAAATATCAACATTTTGGGAGCCACTCTCGACAGAAATCGTGTAGAATAAATATCATCAAAAGAAAAACTTTAAAAAAACTTCATCAAATTAATTACTGTAAAATCAACTTAATTTCTGGGGTTTTGCTAATCTATTGGAGATGCTTATGTCTGGGCTGGCGTAATTCCAAATTATATTAAAAATAATTTTATAACTTTTTGAACATTCAAAGCGCGAGAAAATTCTTACTGGCCTGATGCAATATTACTGAGACACTTTCGCAAATTTCGAAGTTCGAACAGTGAATCAGTAGATAATTAAGATGCTCTATCAATTGAAATTACGTTATGATGTATGCACGATGTCTCTTCGTGCTTGTTTTTTTTTGTTGTTGCGTCAATTATGAATTGAAATTCGGGTACCATTAGTTCGACATACGGTGCCCGGATTATGAAACTTGTGTTATTTTTCTGTTTTTTATATTTTTATTTTTTTTATTCCAGTCTACTCCGAATTTTTTTATGTGCCCATAGTTAGTTGCTCTATAATCACAATTGCAAAAGATTCATTTGAACAAGAATTCATACGAATTTAATTTATAATTTAACCTGCGAATTAAAAAGCGTAATTTATTTTAAACTGTCCGTGGAAATTAGGTATTTTCTTCGTATATATTTTTTTTTAATTTATGCGGTAATGTCTTTCATGCATTGGTACAATACATCGAGAAAATGTAAAATCCACAAATGTGTTGAGGGGAAGATTAATGCTCAAGATTATGAATATATTGAACTTTATTCTTATATTGACGATTTTAGTGCTTATTGATCCGCATTTGCTCATTAAGTATTTATTTCATTAATATGATTATTTACAACGCTGAGGCTCGGAATGAAAAAAAATCCGAGAAATAAGTTTCTTATTTGATGCGTGAATTTTCAATTTCTGCCGAATTTTTAAATATGACGGACGACGAGGCAATTTAATATATATTCCATTGCTGGATGGTGAATATCTGCTTGCAAAATTTTACCATCCCTTTTAGAATCATGCCTGATTCAAAAGCTACTCTGCTTCTGACTTGAGAGGGAACCTTTCGCACAACATTTGGCGGTGCATTTTTTTTGTGTTGATGAACTTTTTGTAATAAAAAAATCGAATTTTGTGCGTATATTTTTCGGAAGCGCGTGAAACGGATGATGTGAAATTGATTTCACTTACCGTTTCGGATTATGTATACTGTATATATGTATATTTTTTGATGTCACGATTGCCTTTCAATATTTTCACGTGTTGGAAGAGATCGAAAAGGAAAATTATTCTGTCGGGATGAATGTATGAGTATTTTTCAATGCATTTGAGTTACCTATATTCACAGTGATTCATCTTTCGCCGTTTCTTTTATGTGTTTGCTGCTGCTTCAGAGGGAAAATACATCAGTTGGAATAAATCTTGATTGTATCATGAATGAATGCATGCAAAGTGATGATGATTGTGACAAGAAAGGGGTTTTACCTGACCCTTGACTTGACCTGACTATATAGAAATGAGTGATCGTTTAGTCAAATACCCGGTCATACATATATGGCGGTCATTTATTTCCTTGCCAGACCGTTTACATTAATGTATTTTGTTACGTAACATGACCCAATTTATAAGGATCGACCCCTTATATATTTATTGATCTCAGCATAATGCTTCATGTATTCCGGTTTGATGTTAAAACTTCTTGAGCTAATACAAATTATTTTTCTGACGACTGCTGGAATACTTATCAATTTGAAAAGTATTATTAAATTCATTCCATATATGTCCGAAATTTATTTTTACTCTTCATTGTCTCCATATAATCGATGGTTTGATATCATTTGTGCTGCTCAAATATAATACACATGAAAAATATTCTTCGACAATCAGCAATATAAGAGGATACAGTGTTTTTCTTTTCATACAGACAGTTTCAATACAGAGGAAGGGGTGAACGTCTGCAAGTTTGAATTTTGATGAAGATGTATAAATTCTGAAATTGTATGTGCTTTGACTTTTGAGGAACAATACCAATGGGAGAGGGGATATTGAACCTTTTTTCATTTTTAAATTGGAACTGTACAGCTGTTTCAAATTTTTTGACCTGAAAATGCTCAACAACGAAGTTGTATGGTGCTGCTGCCTGCTGGAGTGCTGGTTTCACCTTCATCACTGATAGTAAAAAGTACTGTACAGGCAGAGTACACTATTCGAAAATATCATCTATGGAAGTACTGCTGTCATGGGTGCGGTGCAGTACAATTTTCCCACCTTTCAAGAACAGTGTTCGGTGAAGTTCGGACCTGCCTAGGGGTGGCGTGGAAGAGGTAGCCCTGAATAAGGAAATCACTAGCCCTACACCACCTACTGAATGTAATAAGGATTTGAGTAAAGGCAGTCTTCTTCACGAACACGACGTCTATTATTCACAAGTCACATATAACAATAAAACAGTAGACAAGAAGATGATGGTCAGTCAAGAGCTAAGATCGAAGTGACTCCCCAGAGTCTTTCCCATCGCCTCCTCCGCCAGTGGTTCAGGTGATGGCGCAATAACAGGTTCAGGTAATGATGATGCAATAGAACTGGGGGGTTTAGCTAAGACACGTGGGCGCCTGCCCTTACGCCAGTACGGCCGTCTAGGTGTCGCTGTTGTACGTAAGGGGAGCCCCTTACTATGTAGCGGTGTTGAGTGTATACTGTATCATAGCGTCGCGTGACGACGCCGGGGATTGCCACTTTTTCTGCAATTGGGAATTTAACTTTCTCTTAGAGTGAAGTAGAAGGTAGCCAATTCCGCGGTGAACCGAATCGCATGAGGGCTATGCGGTACTACGTGTGTCGGTAATCAGTCATGCTTTGTTAATTCGATAAATCGTGGAACAGTCACGGTGCAGTACAATTTTCCCACCTTTCAAGAACAGTGTTCGGTGAAGTTCGGACCTGCCTAGGGGTGGCGTGGAAGAGGTAGCCCTGAATAAGGAAATCACTAGCCCTACACCACCTACTGAATGTAGCGGTGTTGAGTGTATACTGTATCATAGCGTCGCGTGACGACGACGGGGATTGCCACTTTTTCTGCAATTGGGAATTTTACTTTCTCTTAGAGTGAAGTAGAAGGTAGCCAATTCCGCGGTGAACCGAATCGCATGAGGGCTATGCGGTACTACGTGTGTCGGTAATCAGTCATGCTTTGTTAATTCGATAAATCGTGGAACAGTCGATATTTTTGAAGTGAAGGCCGTGAATTTGAAAAATGTGAGTTCGTTGACCATCGATTTATCTTTATTTTTGGTAGGTCATGAGTGATGGAAGTGAAATGTGAGGAAAGAGTGGCTCATCCGCCGCCCGGCCGACCAGAGTTGGTGGAAAATCTGGTTGTTGCACCGGTCAAATTTGTGAAAGGTCTTCGTAAAGCGCATGGCGTGTTCGTGACTGAAAATGGCTACGAGCCGCATATATACAGAATTAATAGTAGTGCGAAAGACTCCGTGGCAGTGAAAGTTCGGTGCTATTTCCCTACGTGCAGTGGCCGAGGAGTTGTAGCCCTGAAGGGCTTAATGGTCAAGCTAATACATCAGCACGTGTGCCCTTTGGGAACGTGCACTCCTACTTCCAACATCAATTTTTTGAAAAAAATCATCTTCGAGAGTGAAGCAAGGAAAATAATTGAAGATGTCCCTCATCTAAATGTCCGCAAAATTGCGGAACTTCTCGCCAGAACGTGAGTTGATCTGACGAAACATTCCTATCGCGTGCTTGGTGCCACTTGTGCAATTTCTAAAATTGTTGACATTTACGCTGAAGTACAATAGTACGTTGTTTTCATGAGGTAATCTTGATTGACTTCTTCCCAGTCGTTTTCCCCGATTTGTTTTTTCTACGACGAAGATGCATAACTTTCGGCAGATCAGCAATTTTCATGCTTAATTTTCCCTCGAAATCCGCGGGTTTTGGCAAAATACGAGAAGGAATATGCCAGTTTCCTTGTTTGTATTTGTTCCCTTCCGTCGGAGTCAGACCGGCAAAACCCACTACCGGGATTCACGAATATCCGTAGTTTCAAGCAGTGAGGAAAATTAGCCATTAAATAAGATATGCATAGTACTGTACAATACCGTAATCCTGGAGGAGTTACATCGACTTTTTTTCTTCTTCTGATAATATCCTCTACGAAAAAACAGGAATGCTTAATTGCTTGATAATTTTCTTCTACAGGATTCCTTTGGAGGATATCGACCTGAAGTATATTCGTTCCTATCGCAGAGCGAAGTTGAAGAAGGCTGACGCAAAAATTCACTTAGTTCCTGGAGATTACTTCGAATACTCCGCGAACAAACGCTATATTCACAAAACACTACCATGTCCGATGCTAGACGGATCCGTCACTCGTTTTCCGTTCTTCGTAAAGAACGTACGGAACGAACCTGTCGGAGCTGTATCTATTTATGCTGTGGATGCTGTGATCCCAATTTTGAAAGCGGGTTTCGGAATCCTCAACATTGATGTGACCTCTTACATGGTTCCTGAGCCGTTCAAATATGTATTCATCATCCATCTTAGTCTAGAGTACATCGTGAGTTTTTTTTTGCCTTGATTTTTCTTTGAAAGTCTTTTCTTTACCGAAGTGTGCGACCGCAGTGTAATATTTGACCTGCTTCAAGCCACGATTGTTTTCACTATTGTGTACTTCTCGTCGAAATGCCTTAACATTTCATGCTGATAATCTAGAAAAATTTAAATGGCTATGTTTGCTCAATTCAACTATCCAGGCTTCCGCTGTCAAATAATCTGGAAAGCAAGTTTGGTGTTCAGGAGAAGAACTCGACTTTTTGTATTCTCCGTAAATTTAAGATCATAAGGTTGACCTGAACTTATTTCACTGAAAATCTCCGATGAAAATATTCAACGTCTTCTGTTGGGCCACGGTATTCTTTGAAATACGTACTTATACAGTATTTCAAACTGTATCATTTTATTTTCCCCAGGCGATGCCAGTAATGCTTGCATACATGTCAAACGATTCTGTCGCTGCCTACGACGCCATCCTGGAAGAATTCAAAGCATGGTGCGATCGTGCTTGCTGTGATAAGACATGGGAAGTAATTGTTGTCGATTGTTGGAACCCGAACATCAGATCCGCTTGCCAAAAAGCATTTCCTTATTCCATTTTGATGCGCTCATGGTTTCACTTCATTCAGGTTAGTTTTTTATGAGGCGCCAAGTTAAAACGTTATTTAAATTCTGAATTCGAATTTTCAGGCTCTGTATGAGAAATCCGAACTTCTTCAGCTGCACGAGAACCTGAAAAATATTAAAATTGTTGCTGAAATATTCGGGATGTTGGCTTCAATTGTACTTCTACCGCCAGACCTCATGATTCAGGGCATTGCAGTCGTCAAGTCTTGCGTGCGTAAACTGCAGTGTGATAAAGTTGGTGGAAGCAAGAACCTGGAGAGTCTGAAAAGTCTGACCAAATTTGTTCTGGTAATTTTTTTGAATCAAAATTTTCAACAACAAAATGGATTCACAGATTCCTCATTTATTATTTTTAGGAACGCTGGCTAAGTAACGAAGATTTTGACAAGTCAGAAATCTCGTTGAGCGGAGGTGAATTTGGCACGAAAAATGTTCTTCAAAATTTCGTATCAAGGTTGTACGCGTCAAAAACGACCGAAGAACGAATGGACATAAGCGCCCACGTCGGTCAGTCTTGAATTCATTTCTTTTAGGTGACATCGAATCCTCGTCTATCTTTCTGTTCAACTTTCAGGTAAGATAGCGGAATTGATCGTCGCAAAAGTCAGCGTTGATTATCCCGACTTCGAAGTTATGAAGAAGAGTTATTCGCAGAAGCGAGAAAGAAATGTCATGGCGGATCCGTGAGTGCAATTCACGTTACCGTATTCTTTTTGCAGTATAAATATTGGAAATGAATAAATTAATTTTAAAGTGTAGGTATTTTGAACGAATGAAAATTCAATGGCAATATTCTGTCTGGATGTATGCTCTCGAAAATTCTGTTCGCATTGTTCACCAACTAATTGTGAAAGTCTGAAATTTCCTAGCCTGCGCTGGGGTATTATAATTTTACTCGCAGTATTAGTTATTTTGGAGTTGATTTTGGATCTTTTTTTTAATCACTCCGCACTTTTCAAAGCACTTCCGCATTTGCTTTGATCCTACAATTCGATCGAAGAAAATACAATATCTCCATTCCAGGGACATCATCAAGTATCAAAATGAAGCTTCACGCTTGTCAAAAATGTTGGAAACGAGTGGACAAACTAACGAAAAGGTTGAACTACTGCTTCATATAGAACACTTTCTGTTGGCGGGAGCCAAGCAAGTTAACTCGCATGCTAATTTTCTCACGGGGGTGAGTGGATGTCGATCGAGCTCAACGATAAAATAAAATTAAGATAACATTTTCCTGTTGCGTCGTTTAAACCAGCTTTTTATTTTATTTTCATTTGGATTTTCAGGACTTGAATCTGAAAGGAGATGGGATGGGAGTCCTCAACGTCGATGTTAATGCTGGATTCCGAGCCTTAGCGCTTTCCGAAAATATCAGTTTTACCTCCGAAAGTAAGTTTTGATCGGTTCTAATACTGATTCTTTCAAGTGAAGTATAGTGTACACAATTTCTTTTTGACTGTTGCAGGCATGGATCTAAGCGACGAAGATTCGGATTTCGATCCGATAGCACTGAAGAAAGAGAACGCCGAATTGAAAGAAAAACTTGCGCAGTTCGAAAACGGTTAATGTCTTTCGTTTTTATGTACAGTATGTGAATTTCATGAGAGGAATGGCTCAGAAGTTTCGTCAGTATCTTGAAATGGAACTCTTCGGGTAGTTCTTTTGCTCACAAATTGGCAAGAGAAAAACTTTTCTTTCAGGCCAGAAAAAAATTGATGAATGAATCGCGAAGAGCAGCCATTTTCACCGAATAATTTCCATTCAGTTTATATACTGTATTTTATATCACTAAGATTAGTTACTGTTATTACCTCTCCAGTCGATCATCAAGGTACGATTTATACTGATGAAACTTGTGAATCAACCTTGTATGTAATTTTCCATCATTCTTGCATCGATTACTGGATTTTCTGTTTTTGTAGTGACTCCATGTCCCGTTTGCAAGAAGAATCCTTGGACTGTGATCACGGACGTGTGTCATCATGTGGTGGGCTGCCTGAGATGTGCCCTAAGTAAAGAAATTTCCATGGGTTCCGGTGAGGTAAAATGTTCATCCTGTGGCGTGCAGCGCAAATTTTTTCGAGTGATGATCTGATTTTTCACCAAAGTTTTTGCCAATTTATTTTTCACGATTTTGAAGCGGGATTTTTATATTTTTATGAATGCGTTCTAGGACTTACATTTCCCTTCTTAACTTATCTTCACCTTGCTCAATTCAGATTTTTTTCTCGATTTTTCCAGGATAAAATAATTGTATTTATTTGTGAGTAAACTTTCGTGTTCCAAGATGAGTTATCGAAAGCGCGAGAAGCCGATGATCATGTCCACGGCGGGCGCCGTGCCCACGAAGAACGAAAAGGGTGAGGATCTTCTTCATTTTGCTCCCCACGAATCCATTTTCAAAACGTTTTGTCATTATTTTCAGGCGAAGTAACGATGGAAAAGGTGAAGGTACATCGTTACGTCACTGGTAAACGTCCAGATTACGCTCCTGATTCATCAGGAGAGGAAGAAAGTGATGAGGAGATGTTTGCCCCACCCCAAACTGGGGCAGGAGGAAAACGCGGAATGGTTGCTATGGATAGAATGGAACGAGGTGGAGGATCGGAATCTGGTACAGTATTTTTGACGCTTGAATTATCAGTTTTTCCCCGTTTTGTTTAATGGGAAGTACTGTATTGATCTTTTGATATTAGAAGAGGAAAGTGACGAAGGAGAAGAAGAAGAACTATCATTGGAAGAAATCGAACGTCAACGGAGGATTCGTCGTCAGCGCTTGCTTGAACAGGAGGAGATGAACTTCTCCGGACGGTATGTTAGAATATTCAGAGGTTTCCTTTCATTGTAGCATTCTTGGTGACCTTCAAAATTTCGCGGTTTTCTTTGAATACTGAAGAAGATGGAAACGTTTTGTCTGCAATTTTTGATGGGGTTCTTGAAACAACCAGGTTCAGAATCTCAGAATGTTCCGAAGCATTGCTGAGGGAGGGAACAATCTTGAGCCAATGCTATGTTCACTTCAGTTTTTGGTAGATTTTGTTTCCAAGTTAAAGCAGAACTTCTTTCGCACCAATTGAGATATTATCAACCTTCGCATGTATTCCCTGCATTTTGAGTGGTTTCGAGAGTTTACGTGAGGTTTGGTCATGTTAATTCTACTTTTTGGGGATATTTGAGACTGAAGAATCAGATCATCAAAATAATCCGTTTCAATTTTGAAGGAAAACCAACCAAATTCAAGACGTTTTTCATTCGCAGACGAATTCATGAACCAGAAATTCTCGATGCCGGTGATTTGGAAGATGAGGAGGATGAAGAAGACGTCAAGCCAGACGAAGCTACCCTAATGGGTGTAGATATTCGTCGAAAGCGGCATGAAGTCCCCGCAGCAGTGATTGGCGGCGATGACGACGACGAAGACGAGGAGGAAGAGGATTTGGACGAAGAAGAACTCGAGCGGAGAAGACGGCTTCTGCGAGAAAAGGCTCGTCAGCAACGTCTTCGGGAGGAGCAGGTGAGTTGGAAATTTTGGAACAGGTACTGTAATTTTAAATGTACAATACTGCAGTGGTTATGAAAGTTCGATAGATCTTGGTGACATTCTCGTGAAACGTATCAAATACAGAATGTGAATCGGCTTCTTCAGTCAGGTTTTGCATTTTTATTTGAAGTTTAGTTGGTGATGAATCAGTCATTCAATTGTCGTTTTGCGTGGATGGTTTTCTATGGTTGACTTACAAAATAGGCCAAGGGCGTAATTTAAGTTTGTTTTCGTTGAAAATAATTTTTGAAGAAATAAAACATTTCAGGAGCTTGCAGCGAAGCAAGAGATCCGCGTAGAGTCGGACGAAGAAGTAGAAGAAGATGAAAGCGAGGAGGAAGAGAGCAGCGAGGAAGAAACCACCGACGAGGAAGACACGGGGCCACGACTCAAACCCGTGTTCGTGCGAAGCAAAGACCGGTTGACGCTGGAGGAGCGAGCCAAAGAAGACGAAGCTGCGAAAGCGCGAGAAGCTGAAACCAAACGCCTAATAGAAGAAAGACGGCGGGAAACCCTGAAACTGGTTGAACAAGACCGCAAAGGTCTCGGTGATCCTGAAAAAGTGGCCGAATTCAAAGAACCTTGGGAAGAAGTTATTACTGATGATGAAAACGACGAGGTGGAGTACGAGGCTTGGAAGCAACGGGAGATGAAACGAGTCAAGCGGGACCGTGACGAGCGCGAAGCGTAAGTTATACATTTTATTATTAATTTTCCTTTCTAGGGGTTTCTCAAAAGTCATGCGAGTAATCAACGAATTTTAACTGTGCACGGATAAACGCTAATTTTGAATTTCATCTTGTAGAAAGAAAAAAAAAACGAATGCGAGCTTGCGAGAGCTATAAGAGCCTCTTATGTAGATTTACGAAGATTGTCGATTTTTCTGTCAGGAAATTCGAGATTCATTATTTCAAATAAATTTGTTTCTCGCCCTGCATTTTGAAATTTAAAATTAATTTATCGTTAATCTTGAAATAACAAGATTAACGATAAATAAGCACACAGGCTCATTGTAGGCGTTTCGCAAGACTTACGATATATCCCTAGTATTTTTGAGCAGCATGTATATTGTGGAAGTTTTTGAGTGCTCATTTTACATTCGGATTTTTTTGCAGTCACGAACGAGAGAAATTGGAGGCTGAACGACTCCGCAACATGTCCGAGGAAGAACGACGACTCGAAGCCCGGCTGAATCCCAAACTTGTCACCAACAAAGCCGCGAAGGGAAAATACAAATTCCTGCAGAAGTACTATCACCGAGGAGCTTTCTTCTTGGTAAGTTTTATCGCTTCAGGAGATTTCTTGGTAAGGGAAAAGTTCGTGTTCTTCTTTTCTGAAACCCTGGTTATGGGTTATAGTGAATTCTGGTGAGGCAAAAATGGTTGTCTGGTCAAGGGTGAGTTGTCAGATTGAGATGAGATCTGTCGCCTCACTATTGAAAGCAGAAATAAGTCCTGTATCGAGGCAGTTGCGTGAACTTATCGTTGCTTCTAAGTACTGTATTTTTCTTTTGATCACATTTTTCATGGAATTCTTGTTTGTTGCATTACAGGACAAGGAAGAAAATGTGTATCGACGAGATTTCTCTGGTGCTACGTTGGAGGATAGATTCGACAAGACTGTGTTGCCTAAGGTGATGCAGGTGAAGAACTTCGGCCGCAGCGGTCGAACCAAGTACACTCATCTGGTGGATCAAGATACGACGCAGTTTGATTCCCCTTGGATGGCAGAAACCGCCATAAACGTCAAGTTCAATACCACTCACGGCGGTGGAATGAAACAGGTCTTCGAACGGCCTTCGTTGCGTAAAGACCGACAAGAAGGCGGGACAAATTGATCAATTGTGATTATTTTTTTATTGCATGAGTTTTCTTATGTCATGTGCCCGATTTTTGCAGGGTGATTTTGCGACATTTTGGCGATAGCAAGAAGCGAAAATTTATGTTGAACACCAGTCTAGGCAATTTTCAATACCTCGTGTATTTCCAGCCTCGAATTCTCGAAGTACTAAGGTGTCCAAAATTTAACTGAGCTATAATTAATTCCTAATTAATACAAATCTACATTACATTTTGCCTTACACGTTGTAGTACGGTGTTTTTTTTTTAAGCCTGTCCTTCGCAATGACGAATTGATTTGTTTTGGGTAAATGTCACTGACAGTCACAGTAGATAATTGAATATTAATCTCAAACTGAATCATCGCAAACTCCATCTGCTTTTGGGTACTTTTTGTGTTCATTGGCGTTGCATTCATATTCATAGTTGGAAGAAAACCGAAGGATTCGTCGGTTTCAAGTGGATTTTCCGTAATTGAATGAATCGGTGAAAACAGTTAATTATTTTTACTGCTTCAAAAATCCTTTTCAGGCCTTCAGACGGGAACATTTACCAGATACATTCATGTGTTTAACCGGAGTACAGTAAATTCTTGGATACCCTAGATTTAACTCGAGTCGCGATTCAGTTTTCGCCGAAAGAACTCGTCCAATGGTTGTTAAAAAAATCAACCATAATTTGAGCGTTTGCTTTTGCCAATCCTGTTGCTAATTATTCTGTAGATGAAGAGCGATGAAGGGTGGTTTCCCACTTCTGTGGATTTGTTGGGTGTGTGTTGCGTAACTGGACCTTTTGGAATAAATGTTAAGAAAATGACCAAAGAATTTATTCACATGTTGATCTAAGTATTTTACATCTGTTTTTAGTTGTCAGCGTCATCCGCCATTATATTAGTGGTGGAACGATTCTATTCTCCAAAATTCGGATGATTTACTCCCGGAAGTGCGTCGTTTCGCTCGTTGGGAATGACAACATCTAATGCATTGTCGTCATGCACCGAGTCCGCAGCCGCGTTCACGTTGGGAGCGCACACGCTTTCCGTGTCATTGGAAATTCACGCGGAAAATCGACAGCGACTAGTTGGCTGTCTTTGGCAAAAGTACGGACCCGATATCAAAGGCTCCTTTGTTCTTCTTTGCGGTGGCACTTCTCGCGATGCTGTGTGGTACGCGTCGGACGCCGGGGAACCATTTAAACAGGAGTGTTTCTTTCACTGGGCATTTGGTGTGCTGGAACCCGACTGGCTCGGTGGACTGAATGTCGATACTGGGAAGTCGTACTTGTTCATGCCCAAACAGAATGTACGTGCATTTATTATTTTTTGCAAGTTGGATTTTTGCATTAGTGTGATGCTTTTTGTGATCATGGAGGACGTTAACATTTCAAAGTGGCGTTACGCGTCAGGCAGGCTACTGAATGAGTCCATGATAAAATCAGGCGTTTTCCCATCTCAAAAGTTCTGTACAAAATTAGTTCATTAAGTTCGTCATGTGGTGCCTAATGCTGTTGACGAAGTGTTGTATTTGGATGAGATCGTGTCTCTGTTGAATGATATGGTGCCTACGCGGTTGCTTACGTTGCGTGGACGCGGAACAGATTCTGAAGTTTGGACTCGAGAAGCCCAGTTTGAAGGAATCAACAAGTTTTTCGTGGACAACGCCGTGCTTCATCGCGCCATGGTCGATTGTCGCGTTCGAAAGGTGATTAATTATGTGATACGCGTGTCGAAGTCGGTGAGGTCTTTTCAGGCCTGGTATTATTTTCCGGAGACAAGCTCGTGACGCAATTCATAATCTCGCTTTTCATTCGTTAAATTCGGGCCTGGAGAAAAATCCGTAATGCTCTTGAAATCCCTCTTTTTATACTGCTCTTCAGGGTCGGCTAATTCAAACCAAGCCGCTTTAATGCTGTTGACACGTAAAAGCAATCGTAGCTTACAATTATTATTGTAATATTACCTCGCCTTTTGTTCTTGTCTAAAAATATATTCAATGGTGTATTGATTTGATTTCCGTGTTTTCCTTCATCCCACACACTAAGATTTTAATCGCCGTCAATTTTATTCTGGAACATTACCTTCGTATTCAATGTTCTCCTAGTTTGCTTTCTCTGTTTGACTTACCGATGCAATTCCTTCTCTCATATATCCCCAAAATGAGACTATTTTTTTCATTAGAACCCATTTGGACAGATTATAAGTCCGCCTAGATTGTAAATCACAAAAACTCCAAAAATATTCACGAACATCTGCTCGGGGACAAATCGTTTTGTCTTGCAGCTCTTCCCGGGTATCGTTCATAAAATTTCTTTACAGTCACGCAATGAAACAAAGCTTACGGTAACAAATCTGCCCTAACCTTTAGCTTACAGAGGCCAAGCGGCGCTTCCAGTCGAGTCTACGCGAGCACCTTCATTACTTCTTACGCGCAGGGCCTATGATGGAATACCATTTAGAAGCAATTTTCAAGCACCACATATTCTATTACGGCGGAATGCGGCGAACTGCCTCCATTTGCGTTTGCGGAAGCGGTCCGAACGCCTCCATTTTACGCTACGGAAACTCCATCATGCCCAACGATCGGTTAATCCGGGACGGAGACTTGTGTTTGCTGGACATGGGCGGAGAATATTATGGTTATGCATCGGACATATCCCTGACTTTTCCCATCAACGGGATATTTTCCGAGGACCAGAAGGCGATTTACAATGCCGTTCTCAGAGCGAGCAAATCCATTCTTTCGCTGATTCGTCCGGGCGTCTCATTTCCGGACATGCACCGCGTTGCAGAGCGAGTGATTCTTGAGGATTTGATCAAAGTCGGAATCCTCAAAGGAGACCTTGAAAACATGTGGAAGTTGAACGTGGCTGCAGTGTTTATGCCACATGGTGTCGGGCATCTGCTTGGCCTGGATGTGCATGACGTGGGCGGTTACGCAGAAGGTACTCCGCCGAGACCGCAGCTTGACGCTTTAGTACCTGGCAGAGAACTCGGGATTTGCAATCTCAGGTAATGGAAATTTGCTTGTCGGAAGGAAAGCACCCATCAATAATTAATCAATGACACGACGTCCTTTCACTATAGATCTGATTAGAAAAGCATTTTGTTCCGAACTTTTTTTCGATACTCTTGGTCGGCACAGCGTGAAAAATGTCCGCGACGAAGTTAGTTGTGCCAGAGGGTAAAAATAAAAGTCGACTTAATTCTTTGATTCTTGAAAGTAATGAGCCAAATGATCACAAAAAATACTTAATTACTATACGTCTAGAGTAAAATCAAGAATAATTCGAGTAGAGTATGATGCAGTACAGTCATTCCCGGAGTAAAATTTTTTAGTTACTCGACATTGAAACATCCATTATTGTATGTCGTGTGACCTAACGTCGATAGAGGACTTCGCTAAAATGTCACCGGATCTTCTACTGTACTCATAAGGTCTATAATAATAGAATACAGTATACGAAGAAATGATTTCCCATAGTGAAATTGGACCCTCGGAAATGGTGTAATATGAATTAATGCGGGACTGCTAGTTGTTCGCCGCTCTCATAAGTCATAACCCCTCCATCTTCAAATTGGAATGCACTACTGTATAGTACTGTACTTTAATTTGTTCCCCATAAATTGCTGAAAGACATCCCGTATAACTAACCCCCTTTTTGGAACAAATCCATGGCGTACGCATTCTCAGGACGGCTCGTGTGATGGAACCTGGTCTCGTTGTCACGGTGGAGCCCGGGATCTACTTCATTGACGCTCTTTTGGACGCTGCTATTCAGTCAGGAGACTCGAGGTCAAGTTTCTTCGATGTTGACGTGTTGCCGCGGTTTCGGGGATTTGGTGGGGTGAGAATAGAGGATGACGTGGTGGTGACTTCAGAAGGGTGTGAAGTACTGACCGCGTCCATCCCACGGAGTGTGGCGGACATCGAGACTGTGATGGCAGAAGGAAGAAAATTGACCGTGTCTTTGCCGGAGCCGTTGTGTTCTGCTGGTGCTTGTGCTACGAGTCCCACGAACCCTCTGACTTCTTCGTGATGTTGGCACGGGTGGAAAAAAAAGCAACAGCTTGATTTGTGAATTCAAAAGTTAAGACTGATAATTCCAACTTTCTGGTACACTGGACCCCTGCTTATTGACTATGATAACCATCCTTTATGAATTGATTTCTATGAGGCCCAATTGTTGAGCAAAAACCTATTTTTCATGAGGATCCATTATAATTAAAAATTTCAATTCTTTGTAGAGATTTTAAAGCCAAAATTCACTAATTGAGGGGGGGGGGGGCGTGTGAGATACAGCAGTATGTTAGCATACTGTATCTGACATGCCCCCCCCCCTCAATTAACTTCCTCGAAAATGTCATGAGAGAGTTATTTCCTTTTTTCGTAGCCTAAACAGTATCAGGCAGAATTTTAGTGGAGAGGAGAGAACATAGCTTGAACAACATACTGTACACTTACTACTATTCGTCCATATTTTTGATGCACTCTTTGTAAATCCTTGAATTTTTGAAATTAGTTTCTTGGAAGAAAATAGCAATTGAGCTAATATTTTAATACTGATGGCATCGCTTGGATATGCATTACGACGACTTGACGGATGATTACTGTACAGTGAACCGATGGACTTATGGCGCTGTTGGACGTGCGTTTTAATCACATGCATAATTAGATGTTGCATGAAGCGGTAAACCAGTACTTGGAAACAATGCTCTTATTCCCGGACAACATAGGTGCTACATTCATCCAACAATTGTTCATAGATCGGTGCAGTCTAGAGGTACAGACTAGACGTTTCGAGATCAACTCGGCCAGAAAGACATCGGCGGACAAAACAAGAACCAGGAATGTGAGAAAAATGAACGCATACATTGATGAACAGAAAAAGCGTTCAAACATGACGAGATTTTTTGTTGTTGCAACTATCGCCATGTATTTAAAAGCAAGGATGGAAATGCAGGTGTACTCTGAGCGAAAAAACAAATCAAAGCTGAACAGATAATAACACGAAAGCAGACATTTCCGACTGCGCCGATCAACGCAGAACACGTCCTCACATTCTTCAATCACTATTTCAAAAGCTCAGAAAAGCCTCGAATTTATTGTTTACTCAGACCTTCGCCATAAACTTCCGAATACTTCAGTTAACACATGCCAAAACGAAATTGTAACAAAAAATGCGCACTAAAATTGGTCAGAAAACTCAACAAAACCCCGCGCACAATATGAAATTCCACATTCGACTTCCCGCGTAATTTAAAATCAAAACTTGATGGAAATGAATGTCTTCCATGGACCAGGAACAATCAGACCATGGAAAACATATTTACCAGAGGTACCACAACTTCGACTAGCAGGTAACTGAACTAGCAGTTGATCACTATTCTTGGTAAACGCTCTTGTTGAGACCGATTCGCACACATAATTCTCTTCACGAAACAAAACAAAAATCGTAGGCAATAATTCGCGGTTGATTGGCAGACTAGCAGCGAGAATGCAACCCGGAACACAAACTCGATCCCTCGCTCACTGCAGAAGCTGATCTATTTCACTACTTCCCACGGGCTGAGATATATGTCGTTGACAATCTGGCGACAGTGGCTGTTTTGCAAGTAATTTCAGTATTGCTCGCAAGAGTTCCCAGCAAGGTCGGAATTTTTCAACCTTATTGTGAAGACAGGCCATGGTTCCTCCTCATTAAATATTGCTTCAGACCATTCAGTACACGGGTTATGTGTCACAGAAAACTCCGAAGTTAAATGATAATTAATAAATTCTTGTAGGTTTAACTGATTTATGATGTATCGAGTCAACCGACTTGATAAACACTTGTCAGGCTACATTTCAAACTTTTCACCCGTGAAATAGCTTTTGCTTCTTTGCATGAATAACTCAAGTGGCCAAAAAGTGGCACGAAATCTTTTACGAATTAATCCACAAGTTAAACAAAGGTAGAATCCACAAGAAGGCAGAAAATTCCGTCGCTCGTTCCACATTGAGTAAAAAAAAGTTCAACTCGAATTCGATCACGAATATTCGGGAAACACAATTGAAACATAGCCAAGCTAATATGCGTTACAGAGGTCTGTTTTTCGATGAAAAAATCAAAACGTATCTATCAAACATCATCATCAACGTCTACTCAAAAGACGTCATTGGGACAATCCAACAACCTTTTTTATTTACTTTAAAATTAAGCTTACTCTACGTTGCCACTTTTATCCCCCTAGGAGTTTAGGCACTAGCATTTATCAAGTTTCTTTAAACAAAGAAACTAAAAGGAGGAGTTGCCCAAGTCCCTTTTAAGCTGATCGATGCCTCGAAACATCGTGCGCCAAAAAAAAGAAAGTTGCCAAATGCAGTACATGAATGATAACCAGCGAAATGAAATGCAGGAACAGTATCCATTCATCTAAAAAAAAAAAAGACTGAACTGACGTCACCTGCTGAAGCTATTACTTGCGTAACCCTACTGTCCCTCAAAATACCAACGTTCCTAAAGCGGAAAAGAAAAGATTCCCGCGATAGTTTTAAAACTCCCACGAAATCACCTCTTCCCTTTTCTCAATTCACAGACTGGAAAAGGAAAAACGTCAGAGACTGGAGACACCATCACTGACAAATACGGTACATCACGACATCAAGCTTGGCACTGATCAGCGCCGGACAAAAGGCCGTTTTAACCTTAAAGCAATTTCAAGATTCAAATTACGAACGTCTTCCTCCGGCAGGAAGATTCTCGAAAGCTCCTTTCAGAACGCGATTCGCCAAATAATTGTGCCGTTTCTTTCTTGGAGCATTTCAAAGAACTTGAACAGAGATTTTTCTCTTTTTGAACGTCTTTTTGAAACAAAATTTTTCGAGCGCCAATGGAAAAAGATTTCTTAGACTGGAAAAAAACCCTCGAACATTGTCTGTTTTCTTCAGTTGCTGCAAGACTTGTTGCTTTTTCGAAGACTTTTAGAATACTGTTTGAGCGGCCAAAGCAACGGCAGACCTCGTTTCGTCTGGAGGAAGAAAAAAAGGAAAGGAGCAAACGTTCATCCGTTGATCACTCATTCAACGGAAAAGTCACACGAAAAATTCCGATTGGTCGCGAACTAGCACCAGGTAGAGAAGAGCTTCTGTACAGAGTACTCGGATATTATTTACTTAACTTTATGTAACAAATTTTAGGCCTGAAGTTATTTTTTTTTTAGCTAGCTTTTAGGTGCCGAACGCATGTTAGCCTTACCAAAGAAGGATTTAGCTCTGAAACTATTCAAGCAATTTCGCGTGGTTCAAAATCACGTTCGAAATTTACCCATTTTTGGTCATAGCGTAAATGCATTTTTTAATTATCCAGTTGTCTTCAAATTGAAATCGATCGAAGTATCACAGATTTTGCACCTACAAGCAACAGTTCAATTTGAAAGCACGATCAAAAAAGGGTGAAAATTCAGTGAAAAGTCTTGCTATTCATGCACAGTACAAGTAATACAGCCAAGTTCAATAAACAATCCCCTGATCAACTCGAATTGTGAGCTTAAATATTTAGGAATCATACCTCGAACTTATAACAAGTTATGCACATAATTCGAACGACAAAAAAAAACGGAAAAATTCAGTAAATATGAGCTCACATTGCGAACTTCGGTGAGGATTTCTTCCATCTGTTTCTTGTGCGCAACCCTTTCGAAAAGAAAAAGAAAGGGCACATGCTAACTCCGGTAAAACGCGAGAAGTTTTTTAAAGAACCACAATAACCGACACCAGAGGAAGTGTGCAGCCAGGAAAAGTCGGAATAAGAAATACGAAATGTCATTGGCAATTTCTCGAGACGTCTCCAGCGACTTCTTCACGTGTCTCGCTTTCATCTCCTTTATTTCCCTACGCGGAAGTGAAGATAAACGGTATGTGTAGCACAGCGAATTCAAAAATTACATGCGTGGGTTGAGATTCCTAATCTGCAATAGTAACTCGGAAGCGCATTTTACTATGTAGTGCTTTTCAAAATCATATTTTCAAGGGCAGCTGAGCAGCGTTAAAATTGAGCTTTTCCTGGTCCTTGAAGCTTCATCCGAGTTTTCTTCATTTTTTTAAAGCTCGCTGATTTGATTCAAGATGCTCACTTTTCATGCTTTTCATCAAGCATACGCATTTCATTTTCGTGCGCGATTTCGATCAATTTGGTGAGAACCTCTTCTTGCTGCTTGAAGTGCACTTTCCGCAGTTTCCACTCTTCTCGGATCTGCTGATTGCTCATCGCTGTCCACGTCTGCACTTGTTCACCGAGGATACCGTTGACTTGTCTGTCATCCATCGGATTCTCTCTTCAATTTTTCAAAAAACAGAAAAATCCGCACATCAAGTTAAAATTGTCACTTCATGAAACATGGATTTCAGGAAAATGTCTAAACTTCGCGCTTGCTCTTCTCTGATGCAAATGCATGGATTTTTAATATTGCGCAAAAAGAGACTTGGACAAACAATACATATTAGCTTAAATTGCATGAAATACAAATGATAAGAAAAACATGAATACTGCATTAAAAAAAAATTCCTTGCACGACATAAAGCGGCTTTTGTTTCTGTCAAATTAATCTTTGTTCGGCAGACGTTTAGCAATGTGTACGAATGCATTCTTTTCAAATTTGTTTTGCGTTTAGAACGATGAGGAAACGTAAAAAGCATTGAAAATCAAAATAATTTAAACTTCACAGAAATCTTTGGTCTTCGGGGCAGTAATTCAGCATAGAAAAAACACACATATCTTGAAAATGTACTCCAGTGAAAAACTCATTATCCATCTCATAAATTGAACGAATGGTCGTTTAAAATCATGAATGGCTTCACCGTGGATTTCAGTGAAAACTGGATTTTTGAATTCTAAATTTCGTTCATTCATCAGCGCATGAATTGAATGAAACGTTAACAAATGAGGACCAATGTGTTCTTGATTTTTTTCTGCTCTAAGCAGCACTTTCTAACACAGTCCTGATGGTCATAAACTTTTATTGTATTCAATGCCACATGTGTTTTATCATCAATTTAAATATGAAAAATACAGACTTTTTCACTTCGGACTATCGGAGTAACTCATTGGTTACCGCTCATGATTTGCGTGTTTAACATTCTGGCTGTTACTTCCGACCTAAGTTACGCAAACATGGCATAAATTGATTAATTCAAAAGAGGAAATTCAGTTTATTCTCGGATATCTTTTCTTGTGGGAACATTGAAACAATATCAGCAATTGCACTTATTACTCAACATACTCCCACAGTTTATCTCTTCATATCCAGCCTGTATAGCAAAAAAAAGGACAAGTATGATGAATGCTACCAGGCAATGCAGAAGAATCAACGCAAGGGCAAATGAGTAGTCGCATAGCCTACGAGTCAACGGATTAAATGCAGTACACACGTAAAATCACATTAAAAATCTACTAATACTTCAACATGATACATCCGGAATCAATATCAAAGCGGGCATGTAAAGCTATCAAAAAATACTTGCACAAGATAATCACAACAAAACAAACGCCAAATATCATCATGCAGGGCGAAGATGAAAAAACGAACAAACACAGGTTGTATTTAACAATAATCAGCGATCAGCAATTGCGAGGAAGACGACGATCTCAGCTTTTTAAAAGATCGAATTTCCTTCAAGAATCGACATTTTTCTCTGAAAACCGGAGAGCATATTTTAGTGCAAAATATTGAAGTAAAACAAAAACGCAAGAATTGCTTCCAAGAATCAAAAACCAGAGGAACGCGAATTTTGCCTCCATCGATCGCAACAAAATCATTTTTATTCCCCTATTCTGGATGAACGTTTGAAGTCCAAATCGGAAAACACGTGTGCCTGAACTTTTGGTATTATAACATCATCGAAATACGATGAGACGACGTGTATAACACCGCATTTGCGATAAATTGCACGTGACATGCTCAACACCACTTACACACAGGAAATCCATATTTTTTCTTTTATTTCATCCGTTTTCCATACTCTCAAATAGAACAGAAAACATTAATCTCAAAACGAATGCAAATACAGTACATGTATTTTACAAAGAATGTGTAGTACAGTATTGTACAATATTTGACGTTTTCTCCTTCAATTGGAGATAAACGGCAGTCCTAGCTTTCTGGATGACAATAGGCAGATGTCCTTTGAATCACCAATTCGACTAAATTATTTACCAAGAATCAACTTCACGTAATCGAAATCAAGAAAAGAACAAAACGGTGTTGAAAGGAGTACACCGTATACAATACGGGGCTTTAATCTGTGCGAGAAGAGAAAAATCAAGTTTACTGACGTCAGGTGTTCAAAGTGAAGTTCAACTTTCTTGAAATAACGAATACCAACAACTATGAAGGCTTTCGAATTTACGCGGATTAAAGAAATCCAATCGGTACTGATCAGAAGAATAAGTCCCGTGTTCATCCCACCAAAACAATTTCCTTTTAAGTTTTGAAAGACAAGTTTTTATGCAACTCAATCATGGTTCAGGCGTTGATCATACGACGTAGACTGTCACACTTGAGCAGAACGGTACCACAGAACTGTACGAACAAACACGTCAGGAATTCAAACCGGAAAAAAATGTGGAACGCTTCACGATTTTGCGTGTCATCCTTGCGCAGGGGCCATGCTAATCTTCTCTGTATCGTTCCAATTTTATTATATGTACTGCCGAAGCAAGTACACTGCATTCTACTCCTACCCGCGTATTTATACGGCGCGGAGGCAGCCCACGGAATCACAAGCGCTCGAGAAGAAATTCCGTTATTCCTCCAATATTCAAGTGTATGTCCTCGAAATATATTCAATCGAGAACTAACTTAATTTTCCAACAAGATCCAGGAAATTCATTCGAAAATTTCTGGATTTGCGATCGCAAACGCAAAAAATCTTGTCAAACTCGATGAAACGCACAGAACGCTGCTGTAGCCACCTGTCGGCGAGAGACGAAACTACGCGTGCGCGATAACCACAGCGCAGGCTCGCCTTCATGAGTATCGCTACGCAGTGAACTTACGGAGTAATCCCGCAGACCCGCAAAAAATTCCAGTTGCTAGTTATGTGTAAATACAGTACTCGTAGCCTTGAAACGGGGAAGAAACAGAACAAGTGGCGCTTGACCAGGAGGTGGCAAAAAAAGTACCAGTCGGTCTTCGAAGTCGAAGTGGTACAAATGTACAATCCACAGAAAAAGCCCTGGTCTATCAATAGAGAAATCCTGTAGCACAATCAATGGCATCTCATACTCGAGTTGATCAAAATCTATTCGCATCTATGTGAAAAAACGCCGCAGCTTTCAGAGAAAAATGTCGATTCTGATCTTATCCGTCTCCATGAAGTTGATTTCGCGAGAAAAAGAAGAGGAAGAAGGATAAAGAAAGGAGCCGAGCAGACGATAGGTCACCTGTACAATGCCGGGGAGCAGGCAGTGGAGTCAAGCCCTGGGTCCCAGCAGGCCAGCTCCTCGTCGAGTCGGAGCGAACCGGACAATGACGAGCACGACGACGCGTTCGACGCCGTTTGTCGCAAAGAGTATTTGCACTTAAACTTACACGACGGTAGCTTCAACTTTGCCATTCTCGACGCACTACGTGTCAACCGAAACGGCAAATTTCAAACGGGGTCAACGCAGGCGAAAACAAGCTCAAAAGGTGGCTGAATGCTCAATCCAATAATTTTACGGGTATCTGATTACCACGCGCACTTCAGACAAAAATATTTCTTTCGACATTCTGAAAACTACCTCTATAATTTTTTCCTTTTATGTATCTTTTCTAGGCATTCTCTGCCAATTTTTACAATTCCTTCTCGGCTCTCTTGATCCAAGAATAAAAGTGGTTCACAATTGCAAGGTTCGGAGTTTTCGATTGCTTGAAAAGAAACATTCAAATTCCTATACCTTCAACAAATACATGAATAAATAATTCTAGTGCTTGACTAGAGAGAGAGCTTAAGTAAATGTATTTTGACATTCAGTAGCACTAAGACTATGTTGCTTGTTTCCTCTCCAATCATGCGGTCAAAATCGTCAAGGTGAAAAACGATGGAAATAATTCCTAAAATCCTTCGGAATTCGGAACTGCACAATTCTCGCTCGAATTACACAGTGTTGAAAAGAGAAACATTAAAATGTGCGTGGAAATCAGACACGCCTCGCATATTCAAGCCTCAATTAAAACAGCAGCCGAAAGCTGGCCGCAGATGAGCAAAGGGAATGTAAAAATTTCACAAGCATGTAAATTTCGATGAAGATTACCCTAACTGACGTCCCATTACTTCAACGGAAACAACTTCCAGGTGAATAATAAAATGATACAAGAATCGTCAAGCACATGCCTTTTGCATGAAGAAGAAACTCATGCGAACAACAAATGCTGCGTTAGTTCGCTAATGAAAAATGCTCACTTTTTGCAGCCCTTGATGACTTTGTCAAAAGCAGCTTGCTGACCGTACATCATGTTGTTTTTCTCTCTCGACTGCTTCTTCTTGAGAGCATCCATCTCCTTTTGTTGCTTCTTCAGAAGCTTGAGGTACATTTTGTCTTCTTTTAACAAAGTCAAGGAAATGGGGTCGAATTTGACGAATTCTTTTTCTGTAAGAAAAGGTCGGAAATTCGTTTTGATGTAACATGCAGAAGTTCCAAGAATAATTACAGCATTTGTAAAAATTAGTTTTACGTTTGAACAATCAAGCAGTAAATTGACTTTTTCCTATCTACATTTCACTGACGAATTCGTAATTTTGGTAAATGCATTTGTAAACCTTGAAAGAAAGTTTTGCATATGTTTTCTGGAATATTTAGACTTTAGAGGACTTGAAAACTCCACGTTTTGGATCTCAAAAAAGGTATTTTAACATTGCTGATACATACTGAATATGGCAGTTCAACAGTTTCATTGTTGCCTTACAATGAAGTTTTTGATTAAAGAAGTTTCCTCATCAGAATCCTCCAAACCACCAGGAAAACAACGAAAAAAAGAGGCAAACTTATATTTCTTCACGAATAATTTTTGATCACATCCTAGACTTTAAAATATTCTTCCTTACTTTTCAAAATGTTACGGGCAACTGGCAACCTCCACATTCAGCATCAGTAAAACAAGAATGGTCCAATCAGAACACTTCGAAGGTTAATTTACTTTCACAGCTGTAAGCTTTAGGACATGATTAAAAAGAATAAATTTTTAAATTTTGCAATACTGTACAGTACTTCAAATCTCACAGTACCATATTCACTTCAGTACCATACTCCCTCAAGTAAGAAGCACACCTTGATTTGTATGCACAGAATTTGACCGAAGAATTATCCCAGCAAAAGATCCACTCCCCAGTTTGTTAACTGATAATTTAAAAATATTTTGAAGTAATTCCTAACAAAATAATTTTTAGTTAAATTGAAAAGAAACATGAACATCAGACACAAATTGATAAAAATTTCCTCTGAACATAACATCCATCCACAAAGGTAAACCAAGGACTGGCAAAACTTATAAACCAAGGCTTTGACATTGCAGAATTTCTATTGGAATTTTACAGCATCGCATTCTTTAACAAATCTAGACAGCATTTCAGCATCATCTTACCGTATAGTATTTTCAACGTTCGAAGTCATAATTTACGGAATACAGTAGGCAGAAATATTATTTTTTGAAGGACTCTGAAAGGGTTTAAATACTTTAAAATATACTTGCCGACTTTGGGTGTTGGAAGCATCGGCGTTCCACCGGATGGATAGCTCGGGGTTGAAACGGCACCCGTCTTCCCCATAATTATATCTTTGGTTCTAATGTCTTCCTCGTCAATGCCCAGGACCCGCATTTGCTCCACACGCTTCTCTTGCGCACTCACGAATGCTCTCGGATCACTTAATGCGTCCATCAATACTGCAATTTACAGTACATTAGTTCTTTGCACGCATCAACTTGCGAAATAGCAAAAAGCCACGTGGATTCTGTTCGTTAAAATAAAAGGTACGGCAGCACAAAGTAAGATACAAAACTCATTTGAAAGATCAGGCGATTATATAAATCATCAAGTAAAACCATCTAAAACCTGTTGATCATTGAAAAAAGGAAAAGAAAATCCAACCGGGCTGTTACATGAAGTGGCGTTACGAAAAAGAAAATTCTACAAGCATCTGTCAACAAATTCAAATTTCATTAGTACCTAAGATTATTTAGGATTTTATGTAACATGTGGATACTTGGGCCCAAAACATTATAGAAGAAAAAAATAAGTGCCCTTTATACAGCACTGGACGAGATTTAACCAATAATTCTCTGTGATACATCATTTATCTTGGCTGATACGAAATGATGCATCTGGAGCTGAAAATATTGTTTGATTTCAGGTTATTGTTGAACAAGTTGTATGTTAATTAGGGTTATTTCGTCGACCGTTGAATTATCGAACGAAGATCTCAAGTCATTAGTTATCAACTTTACATTGTACTCAAAACAACGAAGAAAAAAAATTGGGCGTACTTTCCAATCCCAATGGCACATAAATTTGCAACTCAATATTGCAAAACAGCATGGCTAGGGATAGAGGGAAGTTGGCATCGGTTCTCAAGGAAATGTGACGATAGCCAGCTTGAAGCCCATCAAGTGGAAGTATTCGCTGTCCGAGCAACCGACTGTTTTCATCGTACACAGCAAATCGGAGAACCGCCAAGTCCGGCAAAATAACCTGAGAAAAACATTTCGGTCACACTCGTTTCTCATTTTCCACGCAGCTATCACGAGAAAACAAAAAGAACACAATATGCATAAAACCTTTCTGAACACGAACGGGTCTTCATTGTACACAGGATTCAGTCCGTTCCCCGGAACCATGCGGGTTCTGAATTCCCTTCGAATAGTATCCGTCGGTAATCCATACATGTCCACCTCTACGTACGTCCCCACGCTTTTGTCCGACAGAAACTGCCCCGCTATCACCTGCATAACAATTTGATTCACAGGAGTATTAATACACACGGGGAATACGAGCGATCATCAATTCATCATAAGCACGCAAAACGCTGTCGCTAATGTAGACTGATAAATGATTAAAATGACATCGGACAACTTTATCTTCAAGGAAAAAAAAGGAATACAGTAACGTGCAGGCAAATTACCCTGACAGAACATCGAGCGGCAATAACGCCATCTACTGGCGTTTCCGCAAACGGATCAAAAGTTCGATCTGGCCTTCGCATGAAATCCGGCTTCAACAAATAGCCACAATTTCCATTATATTCAAATTTTCCCTGGTTCAACTGCATCGGAACGTCGCTTGTCTGAAAATTCAGCGAAACCATTTGGCATCCCGCATTCCAGAAAATCTGCGAAGAAAAAGAAATTCCGGTGCAGGTATAGTAAATACATAAAATCTAGCGAAGATAACTAAAAAAAAAACGGAGAAGTCCTTAAAAGTATACGACATCTTCATGTCGATCGTCAATTAAACTTCACCCGCGTTGACAAGTCTAGAAAATTTATCTGAACAGCAGCTCGCGTCTTATGCCAAAAATTTACCGCACGAAAAAACAATCATTACGAGAATAAATGCAGTAACGTACTGTAATATAATATTTCTCATTAGAGCGTACAAATTGCTTTAGAAAAATATCCGGTCGTACAGTACTTATAGAAATTGCTATGCTCAAAAATTTACGCTTAGAACGCATTATTAGGAATTAACTTCAAAGGTGATGATTACGCCTTTTTTCTCGGTTAGGTTTTATTCAAGGATAGGCGCACACATGTCCTGATCGGAAGGTCAGAAGTTGGGAAAATCAAATGATCATCCGCCATTCAGGTTCTTTTTTTCTTGAAGAAAAACCCTATTGAAGGTATTGTGAATGGATGAAGCGATTCTAAAATGAGAAACCTGAGGTAGATAATTCGAAGAGTCGGCACGCGTTCCTTTCGGATAAATGCGGCTAAGCTGGCGTTTGTTATAGTTGACGAACTCAATAGCCTGGGAACGAAGGTAACCAAGCCCCGTATTCTCGGCAAACGATGACATCCGATAGTGCAAGTCGTTGCCTACGCAGAGACATGCGTGAATGAGTTTACAGTCCTCAAAAGCGTAATTTCAAGAGAAATGCCAGATGCCTGTTACGCACGTTCGGCATCCTCAAAGCCTTGGAACTTGGACGCATGACAATAGTTCACCATCGACGACAGCACGGGATGTACGAGCGCGGTAGACTTGGGGTAATTCGTTCCCGGCGTCACTTCCACAGCCATACCATCTCCTTCCTGTAAACATAGATACACACGTCAACATTATATCTCTACACCTAATGTGACACCAACAACACATTCCACGCGTGAATCCGTGTGATGCACGCACATCGTAACGGACATATGTGCGCTTAAATTCCCTTTTTAATCGCATTCATCCTACCATTAATGTTTCGTTTTTAATGCCAGATGGTTTTCATCCGGAAAGCTAAACAATGGTGACGAAAATACAGATGGCACTTGATTTTTTCAGCGACTTTAAATGAAAAACGTTTGTCAGGATATATTAAATGAGCACCTTCTTTCAAATGATAATTAAAAAAGGCACAACAATCTAGAACAAATAATTACTTGCTTATACTGCATTTTCTTCCACGCGGGATTAGCGTAACAAGAAATTGAATGACGATGTTCAGAAAACGAGATTCACACAAAATATAAAAAAAATTTTTACTTGGAATTTCAAACAGGTGCAAAATAATTTTAAAATTTCTGTGCTCATTTCAGATCAAGTTCTGAACTAATCATCGACGTTGAAAGGATTTTCAACAATTTCTTCAGAAATTGATCCTCTGATCAAGTGCATATTTATGGATAACTTCAAAATGAGCATTTCCAAAGTCAAAATACGAAGAAATCCAATTGAGAAAGAATCCCTTCGTTTTCATGGAAATACGGTGAAGGAGAAAATATATGTCGGTGTGAGAAAAAGGGTTGAAGTTCATCATTCCATCTTTATACTGCTTATTCCATTCTTCAGTTTTAAAATAAATAATACTGATCGAACCTTGGGAATCGGATCGGCCTTGGCATCCTCTTTCACTTCATCCTCATCGTTGACAGTGAGCTGACCTTTCCGGAACAACTCCAACTCGCTCTTCTCGACCTCTCGTTCCAGTCTTTTGTTTTTGATCAGAATTTTCCTCTTCAACTGATTCGGCGAAGGAAGGGCTATGCCTTTCTCCAACTTTTGGTATTCAAAACAATTTTCGTCAGTTAAAAATAAATTCGGTTGAAATTAACTTTCCAACGATGTTAATTATCTTTTTTTTTTTAGATAAAATTGAAAGAAAAAAACTTACAGGATTGTCAGAAAGCGGTTCTTTCAGCAAATTATCCCCCAAATACGTCTCGCAATATTTAGCCAACTTGTATTGCTGACTTTTACAGCAATGGTTTTCGAAGGATAAAATGACCGGATATTCCGACGTTACAAACGCTGTTTCCGCAATGGCTTGAATGACATCCTGAAGTAAAAATAAATGAATGAATTTTCAAAAAGGTCTGAAGATTCTTTTACAAACACTTCTCTTACTTTGAATAAGATGTCGGTACACATTGCTTTACCATGGGTGATAATCGGTTCTTCGTCTTCTCCTTTTCCGTCCCAGCAGTCCAACTCGACACAACTGATTGAAAAAACATTAAAGGATTACCCAAGATCGGCGCCCAGTTGTTTGAGACAATATTTATTTAGCTCGAACGCACGGCTACGAACAAACATCTGAACTTCTTAAGAACTAGCGTCAGCAACTATTCAGCAAAAACAAACGACATTTAGATAAACCATTAAAATTCGATTAGACTGGGGATATTTCGTAATCCCTGGTTCGACGAGTTCTTCGAAGTCCTGCAAGTCTCCAGAGTTTTTAAATGCAGACGAACTTGCTGTACATCGCCGCTTACTAGGAAAAAAGGGGCGATCTTCAGCTTAATCGAATCATTTTCCAATGCGGGCAGAAATTTCTCTTGAAACTTTACAACACATTTTTATAGGTTTTCAACTGTTTTCAACAAGAGTGAAATACCTCGGGAGCATTAAAAATAGCACACGTCCTCATAAGATTCATGGAACTGATAAGCAAATTCATTTATTTGTCATGCTCTTCCGCGCGGCGTAAGATGCAATTTTTTACGTAAATGAACAATCAGCCCCTAATAGAAGAGACGCATGTTTCATCCCACTATGATTAACATTTTTGGCGATAAGGAGAACTTGAGAAACCCGTCGTCTGGTGTGGAAAGAGAACAGAAAGTTCAAGACACTCGTGAATGAAGCGAAATTTGCAACACGACGATCAACATAGCACTTCAACGATGGAAACCAGGGTAAACCATTACGAACCAAAACTTACGAAAGGTCATCTTCATAAAACGGTAACGCAAAACGATTAAAATGTAATAGCTCGAACATAAATGTTCATGACGACACACAAATCTAGTAAAAAAAAAATTATATAAAACGACGCAGAAATGGCCGGGAAGGGCAATCAAATTAAATGCTCATACTTGATCTCGAATTTCTTTTACGCCATACACCATCGCAGTTCGAAAGCATTCCGACTTTAGGACCCATTAAAAACGACCTCAATTTCAAGAGATACTCTGCACATATACTGCCTCATATAAACGCAGTATTAAAATAAGATCATCTTAGATCGCATGAGAAGATCTTAGATTTGGGGCACTGCGCACCGGACCAATTATTTTTGACTGGAACAGTAATTTGATGGGACACAAAGTACAGTGCAGTATTTAAATCAGACTAATTTATCAAAATTCAACTAAGAAGACAGATAATCTTCATAACTTTCAGATCCCTTCGAAACTGTCGGAAACAGAGCCACTTACCGGCAGCCTGAGAGAAGGACTTGGCGATACATCTCAACAGAAGACTTTCCCCCGAACTGCCGCCCAATGAGGTAAGTATTGTGCGAAGAGCTGATGTAGTAATGCGCCAAAGATTGATCCATGTCCATGTAGATTTCGAGTCGGTCCAGGAAAACAGGTGCGTTTTCGTCCGACATCAGGTACTTAATCAGGCCCTGCTTGCTAAGCAAGCCTACCGTGATTTTCCCCCAATTAAATCAGATCATAAAGATTTAACAGATGGATAGTCATGATCTGAATACGTACCTTCACCCGCAAGCTTCTCGTCTTCCTCATAGTCACAGATGATCTCCTTCGCTCTCACATCATCATAAAGTGGATACAGTATCTCGTTCAAGCGTGGATCACGCTGCTTGGCATTTAAAAATTCAACGAATTGTTTCGCTGTAATGTTCTCTCCGACCCCTTTTGTTCTATAGAGAAAAAAAATCTCCTTTAGCAGCTTCATGATAATAGGATGGATACTTGGAATAATTTTGGTCTTTGCATGTTGATTTCACTTTTGATGATCTGTCGGTGATCAAATATATGACTTCAGAGAAGAGTGCAATCTCGACGTAGCAAATGCCAATTTCACTCTAGCACCACGTGATAGTTCGAGAATATAAAAGATAAGTTTCTGAAGAGACAATAAGCTAATGCGGTAGTCATCAAAGAGGATAGCCATGGTGAAGTTTCAGCATTTATAATGAAAGTTGATCCAACGAAAAATTAATGTTTTCATGGTCGGTGCTTTTCTGATGTTCCCGATAGATCATCCAAAAAAGGAACAATATTTCAAACAGAACGTGAAGGGAAAACAAACATTTCACGGAAGAGCTCCTCGATGTCGTTCCGGGGACAGATTTTAGAATAGAACTCGTAGAACTTCTCAAACGTAAATTCAGACGGTTCAATGGCATCAATCTGTAGGGAAAAATTCAGATTTCTATAATGCACTGCTAAGTCGAATGATTTTCATAGGGTCAGAAATACCTTATCGGATGGTAAACCCATATTTGCCAGCGCCTGATAAACCAGCCGCTCCGTTCTCCCGGAAGCGAACGCCTTCGCAATTGTTTTCACAGAGATTTTTCCATCCGGGTCAGTTGACATCCCCAGTCGCATCCAACTGAGATGAAAACACAACGTTAACGAGAAGAGCAATCAAAAGGTATTGTTTCACACTCACTGTTTTCTAAGAGCCCACATGGGACAAATGTTAGCAGCTTTGTTGTTATGAGTCAGAACTCGCAACTTGTCGATCCAGAACTGTGAGAAAAGGATTCCAACTTGTAGTCTAATTACACAATATTTTGTAAGATAGAAGTACCTTGGCTGTCTCAGCATTTTTTGCAACGAAGTTCTGCACTGTTAGATTCACAAGATCAGGACCATACCACACCATGATAGTCTGACTGTCTGTATCTTCGAAGCGGCTCTGAAGTTGCGACGTGATTCTTGGATCCTGAAAAATGAATTATTCATTATACCGGGTAAAATACCGCAATATCAACCACAGTCATTAACTTACTTTTGGGCTACTGCCGATGCGAATGTCGCTAACTTGCGACATTTCAATCGTTTGTCCTTCCTGCGAAAACATCAAAGAAAAATCATGTACATCAAGCTTTCGAACGCATACGAACGACGTTTTACATACCCTTCCTTCGCTTTTCCAGTATATGAAGAATCCAAATTCGTCAACTTTGACCACGCAATCCTGCTCATATTCCGCCGTATCTTTATCCTATAAACACCAACACATAGAGGACCAAATTTCGAGATGGCTGCAAAGGTTTTCCACTTACTTCTAGCCATCGATCAAAGATATCGCCGGTCTGCAGCCTCGCTGCGACAGGGATTTGCCAACTGAAATCGCTTTTCTTCGTCATTTTGACCAAAAAAAGCTTGGCTTGCGTTCCTAGAACCACTTGCGCATTACATCACAATCACATAATGCATGCGGAATCGCACGCAGTTCTGTCAAACCGCATACGTCGCGCATGTGTTTTAAGACGCAGACCTGTAATTATGAAAAATCGGTACACATACAGCACTGAAAATCATACATCAACAGTATACTCAAGAATACGATCGATAAGCACCGAAGAATCTTCGATTTTCCACCAGGGCACGCAGCGAACACAAAACCATGAAAAACGTTGAAGAACGAGACGAATGGGAAGCCACCTGACAATAACTGCAGCTGACCCGGACGTAAGCGACTTCTTAGTCTCGCGTGCACATTATCTACATTCCTTTCACAGACCGCACATTTAAATAAACCTGAGGGATCAACACACACGCGAAGGCTAGCCGCATCTCGTCACTTCCGCTGAAATCCAAACACTGACAATAAGTTCCCACAGTCTCCCGACTCCACGTGCTCGCGGCGACTCTCCTGTCCTTTCGTTACACATCCACCATGCGTGCCGGAGTCCTTATGGGTGGATGAAAAGAACGGCATTCCTTTCGAGCTGACGTGATGCCAGTAAGTAACTTCACGTAAATACTGTACATTCAGGATTAGACTCCGTTTTGTCGGCCCGTATGAAAATATAGAGCCCAAAGGGATGACTTTTTTTTTTTGTTCGTCATCTTCTCACCTGCTATAATTCATTCAATGACGCGGATGGCGAAGTTTCGCTTATGCTGTAACAAGAGGTCAAACATTGATTGAGGTCCAAAGAGTCTAAAATATTATTGAAGGATACTACTTTTTTTTTCTCATTTTCTGCAAGTATCAGTGCAGTCCAAAGGCCACATCACCAACACACGTTTGTGGCCACATTGCATAGGTTGAAGGCCACAATTGTCAATCATTTGAATATCTCTTATACGACACATGTATGGAATTTTTTCAAAGTTATATGCTTTGTAGAAAATTAGTCCATGGCAAATTTATTTCCAAGTGGCTCTACATTTCCCCTTCAACTAAAAAGTTCTACATTTACGGTAGTTCAGTTCTGTGCAATTAATCATTTTCCAGATTTAAAATTTTTAAAATTCATCACTGTAAATATACGGTACAGTATTTTGAATTAATATTGGCTGCGCTGCTGCCACCTTAAAATTTGAGTGTAACATGTGGGCCAGATCTGGCCCGCAGGATGTGTTGGGCAGCAATGCATGTTTTGAATTTTATGATTTACTGTAATGTGCTACACGCTGCATATTCAAAAAATGGCATATGGCATTTTATAAAATAAAGGGTCAATTCGAAGAACTAACTCCGTTCTTAATCGAATGCGTGTTTTAAATTTAGTTTAGTGACCTCAATGGCACAGAATTTACGTATACTGTAGTTGAAAAATTTAGCATCGCATTTGCAAGGGCATATAGACGTCAAAATATATGAATTTATTTAACATGGTTAAGATCACGAAGGTCAATGGAAAATTTCCTTCAATATGAATTCGGGGATTATATATAGACAGTGTAAGGCCATCGTGAAATCCAGAACAATTTTTTATTTGACTTATTCACAATGCAAATTCAATTTTACACGTACCACACACTTGAAAATAAAAACGGGGTAAAAGACACCGCGGCAAAACATTCGCAGGGCAAGCTAACTACCGCGCGACGAGTTCATCCTCATGGCACAAGAACACAACGTTCACGATTTTTCTATCAGCATTGTCCAATTTAACTCGAACTTATTTTTAGCAGCAATTTCCGAGAATGAAGCAGCATCTATTGCAAATCCTGTTTGAGAACAAAGCTTTTTTCTTCTGATCCGAATCTCGTCACAGAACCGGTTGGAACAAAACGAGAAGAAAATCAAACACTGAGCAAAATAAGAAATGCACAATAATCGCAAAGCGATACAAGAACAGAATCGAGAAGCTCTCGCAATGAATCACAGGTCATAGGGATCGGAAACCACACAAAAAAAGGAGAAGAAAACATGAAATGACTTCGCCACGAAATGCAGGAATGCTTCGCGATAACTTCGAGTCCTCAAGAACTTCCGGTACTTCGAACGAACAAACACACGGACAACAATCGAAGCCGACAAGATAAGCTGCAGCGGAAGACACAAATCAGAAGTCAGTCTGGGTCAGCGCAAACGTTACAACTCGATCCGACGAGTCAAATTCGTCTGCACAAATTTGTCAGTTCAGAGGTTCTCAACCTGTGCTGCTCCTGTACTTCCAAGGGCTTATCAACCTCTTCCGAAAAATAATAGGAAAACTGGGAAGATTAAGCAACAGAATTGACGGTAGACCGTAAAAAGGTAGGCAATGAGAAATACTAGACGGAGACCCAAAATGATAACTACTGTACCGTTGTTATATCGCACTAAAGTCAGTGACTCGAGTTGAAAACAGTACCATATTATTTATTCCAGAATCAAAAAAGGTTGAGAACCGCTCGCTGCCTCATGTTTCTTCGCAAGCAAAAGAGGTCGAGTTTCGCTCCAAACTGACCCAAACAAACTCGCATGGAAATAAACTCTGGTTGCAATTGAGAAGCCTTCGTTCGTCGCATCAATAAAATAAAATTAAAAAAACACACGAACGGAACAATGACACCTAAAATGCGGAAAGAACGGGTTCTATTCGTTCCACGCCGATTAATTTATCGTTTTCCTCAATTGTTTTTAAAAAATACTGCCCTTTCTTCTGCCCAGGAACTGAAGATCCGGCACATCGTCGTCAGCGAGCGGAACATTCCCAATACAATCTCGAGCTCACGACGAAAATACTGGGGGTTAAGTGGGGCGCGGGAAATGAATACAAAACGTTATCATTCTTTTCCCTCCTCCCTCGTGAGCTGCTGGCGGATGGATTTGACGGACACACCGAACAAAGACAGTATTTTCTCAAATTTCCTCTCCCTTTTTTCAGGTTTGTGGAAAGTCGCGGGAAGGAACCTCGGAATGCTCGCGGAATACGAAATGAGCGAAAAACGCGACCCGAAAAAAAAACCTCTTCCTTCTTCCTTCCTGACTAGCAGACTTCACGAACGAAGCGCTGTTGCTTTTTCAGGGATAGCGTGTTCTTACGGCAAGCACTCTTAAATGCAGCTCAATTAGTTTTTATACATGGATTAAAACTGACACTTTTACTAATTAGGAACAGGAGCAGTTTGAAATTTTGAGAATCATACATTTCCATGAACGAATGATTTCTAAAAAAAAAGGGCCAACAAAAGCAGGATGCGTCTTAGTTTTTTAGATTAGAAACATAGCATCTGACCAACAAAATCTCCTAAATTAAGAAAAAGTGTGAAATTCAATAACAAATCCATTCCACCATTTTCAGTTCAAGAAGAAAAATAAATTCAAAATAATAATTTAAAAAATAAATATGAAAATGAAAAATAAATGCCGTGCACCATCAACTTGAAAAAAAGGAAATGAATTAAGTCAGAAATAGAATCAACGGACTCCAGATTACTTGAAGAATGTGATGGAAGTACGTCTAACATTCGCAAGCGAAATTGTCGTAGTTTTCAATAAGGCACCAAAAAATAAGAAATTCGGCAATCAAGTTATGTACTCACGATTTACGTAAAAATCACACAAAGAAGAGATGATCCTAATTCAAAAAATTATTAAGTCTCTTTGAAACACGATTTCCAATCGTGAACCGGGGAAAAAGAATCATACATTAGGGGGAACTCCAAACAGATCGTTCAGTTCCCAATAAAATTCGCAAAACAAGTCGCTCGTCAGAACGACACTGTCCCCAAAACAGCAACAACATTCGAACTCATTGCGACTCACGGCCTCGCAGAAACCGCGAATAAATACAAACTTCGTCTGCGCAACCAACATCGAATGCAAGAAGACGTCAGAGCCCGGCAGCATGTTGCAGTGCCGTATCACATTCATCTCGCTAATCGCAAATGAAACAAGAAACAAACGGAAAAACTGGATGAAAAAAAAAGAGCCGAGTTTCCCCGCAGGATTAAACGCGCCTTCAAAATCGGATGAGCACGAGCGGACATTGGAATACCTGAACCGTTGTGAGCGTACGCATTCCTCACATCCGCTCGCAGTTTTCTTCCGCAAAAAAAAAAAAAAAAAAAAAAAAAAAAAAACGTTTCCTCAAAAAAAAAAAAAAAAAAAAAAAAAAAAAAAAAAAATCGTTTCCTCACTTCCAAAAAACATATGGGAACTCTAAAAAAAAATAAGAACCTGAAGTAGTCGTCAACTTCAATCATTCGCCAACTGAATACGTTTCTGATTCCTTTGTGTAACACGAAAATAAAAACAATGCGTCAATCCTCCCCAATTTCATAAAAAAAACTAAATACTCGATCAATAAAAAAAAAAAAAACCTAAGGAAGCCAGTCTACCGCCGGATGACGTTCCAATGAAAAAAAAAAAGTTAAATTTTTGACTTGAACGAAAAATCACTTGGTTGTTTGCTTTTCGAAAAGAAAAACGACGACCTCACTTCGAGCGAGCACACCAGCTCTTCACATGTCGTTGTCGGTTACCATGAGGTCATGCACTTGCTGGAGTCGGTGGGCAAGCCTTTGCTTCTTCGAGAACTCGTCATCTTCTAGGGTAAACTTCAGTTGGTCGTTGTACTTGAAGGCGTACGTGTACAGCTCGTGAAGCGCAGAGTTTGTGTTGAACTCAGCTCCGTGCATCTAATGAAATGCGAAATCAGTATTAAAATTATTACAACACGAATCTACAACAACAAATACAACATTTACGGCTTTCACAAATATCCAAGAATTTTTTTTCCCATCTCGTCGGTATAAAATTATCGAATCCGTCTACTAAAAATATGCTGAATAACGTCGTGATTTAATATACATTTTACTGTATATTGGATAATTACTGGGTTCATCAAATTCCGAATTCCTCCCTTAATTTTATATACGTACCTACAGGGAAAAACAGGGGTTTATCGGGGTCGGGGAAGAATTCGCACGATCTAAAACGGAGAGTTTCTTTCTTAATTTTTCTCCGATTCAAAAAAAAAAAAAAAATTCTCACACTTCGGGGGATTTATGTGCAAAAGCACAAAAACGCCAACTTCACTACACACTAAATTCTCGGACATCTGAAGAGCGACACTTCTTAAATTACTGTAAAACAGATGGGCAACCATAAACATATGAAAGCGAAAAAGAAATCAATTGGATTCATGAATATCCATTCCTTGAAAATACACTCACGCGAGACTCTTCAGCCAACATGGCGTTCATGTCTTGATCGGAGATTGCCGGCATGGTCTTGATATCGTGGTAATATCTCTCCACCCAGTCTTTGTAGACTGGAATATCTTTGGCATAAAGGAGCTTTGAGCTGGGGGAATCCTTACCTGTTCAAATAAAAATATCCACATCAAAAGCCGACACAAAAGCAAAACGTTCACAATAAATCGTATCGAGTGAATTATGAACACGAGGAAGTCAGACAAAGCGAAAAGAACAACTTAAACTTACCCAGACGGTGATCCGAAGTAGAGCAGGAGTCCATAAATGTCTGCGCAACAACCGACAGACAAGAATCCACAACATTACCCTTGTGGATATCGAACACAAAATTCGGGTTTTTGATCAGGTTCACCCAGAACCGCAACGGCAAACTAGAGAGAAACAAGCCCAATTTTTATTCATAAATCCTGCGAAACACGAATTTCTCATGCAAAACAAACCTGTTGCTCTTCCAAGTATGAACAACTTCCGAATCGGAGATGCAATGCTGCAAAGCTTGATCATCCAGGAAGTCGAACATGTACTTGATGGCAAGAGGCAACGCAGATCCACGATGTGCGATACTGAAAATCGTCTCGAACAGATCATCGACGTACTTCTGCAGCGTGATCTGTGAAAAAAACATCAGCTCAAGTTAGTCATAAATGCTCGACTTCATGTAATTTTTCAACCATATAATCATGCAGATCTGAATATTCAAGATATTTAAAATTTAAGAACACATTCAAGAAAATTCCAGACACCTAACTGAAAAACACTCGAAAGACCTCACTTTTTTGACAAGCTTTCAAGTTTAAGGTCGCGAAAAATTTTATTTCAAGGCCCTCTGATCCAATCACAGACAACTGGTACTCTCCGATTTATTTCATCCTATCCATCTGGCGACCAAGAAATCGTAGCGAACAATTAACAGATTCACTTGAAAATACTGTAATATATATACCCTAGGGCCTAGGTGATTATAAAAAAAGCTGCTCATCTTCCCGTCATCCTATGGACGAGGAATCGTCAATAATTTTTTTGATTCTCAGAAAAGTTAGTTTATTATCGTTATTCGGAGTACACTATTCAATTACATCAACTCCGAAAGCAGGAACATCCCGCAGTTGCGATAAGTTTCTTTCTTTTATACGGTAAATAAATTGCATTTATATTCACGTCACTGGATAACTCCGGTATTTGAAACACGAACACAGCTTTGGAATTCATTTTTTTTTGGTTAAGCACGGAAAAATCATGTTTCCAGGTAAAAAATGAATTGATGAACAAAACAAAAATCGCGACCATATTCATTGAATTCCCGTGTGCCCACAAAAAAAGTAGTAAAAAGTCTTTTGAAGATAAAAAAAGGTTGTTTTTCCACTTGTACTCGCCTTGGTGGCTAACAAGCGGGTGAGGTAGATTTCCGACACCATCTTGTTGGATCGCTCGCCCTCCTTGCCGTTCTGGTGATGGTCCTGATCCGAGTGACGCACCAGGTGCCAGTAGCGGTAGTTGCCGCCACCTGCACCAGGGCCTCGGTCGCTCGAGTCCATGCCGCCATATTCGTGGCTGTTGAGCGGGGAAGTGGCTCGCGAAATCGGCGGACTCGCTCCGCCGCTGTACTTGGACATGGTCAGTGTCTCGTATTTGTGGGACTTGAGCGTGTCCGAGAACTGACCCCCTGGGACAGCCGAGAAGTTATACATCGAAGATTGCTTCGGAACGAGAGTCAAGTACGCCTGATCCGGAACCTGCAATTGAACATGAAAGCACACTCAAAATTCGTTCAAGAGCCCAAATGTTTTTCAGAAAGAACGCATGAGAAAATGTCCCTTCTCGTGAAAGCTGCCGTCGCACGAAAATAAATTAACTGCTGTGTGTCTCCATTCACACTCCCTTAGTCCTACACTGATTTAATTGTCCCTGATGTTTTCTAGTGCCACCCCTTGACCCACACTCAAATCACAATACAGCACAAAATTCGAGTTCGATTGAATCTAATCCAACTATCGGGCTACGGTTACGAGGTTCCTGAAATATTATTCACGAAGAGCAGATTATCTTACAGCCAGCTTGAAACAACAAGAGAATGGAACAACTCACGTTATACGACCCCAAAGTGTTGTAGCGTTTCCATGATCCTTCACGACTTGTCTTCGAATCTTCGTCGAAAAGCGTGATCCTCGAGTTCGGCATGATCCGCAGTTCTAGGAGAAAAGTGATCCAGGTTGAGGTCCCATAAAGACGATTGATTTCAAGTTGAAAAGAATTTTGAAGGATTAAGAAAAAAAAATTACCAAGATCCAAGTCATCCTTCGATGGCCGCTGAGTATACGGGGTATTTCGGTATATGGCATCAAGAGCTTTCTCCTTGACTTGGGATATCGTGTCGCAGTTGAGGACCTTGACATACACGTCATTTGTATCGTGTATGGCATCATACCCAGACACGCACAACGTCTGCGTTGACATCGAGACAAATACGGTCTGAAAAACACCACCACAATATTAAGACCGAAAAGAACACAAGATTCGTAAAAAAAAAACAGTCTTGTTGCAGACTTGAATCAATCTTTCGATAAAATTCGAAGCTTGACGGTGATTTAGAACCTGTTTTGGAAGCTTTTGATTTCTCACCATTAGCTTGAAGTCTATCGCTTGACGAATCAACTTCTCCTCAGACAAGGAATATCGTGCTTCGGAAGTCACAGCATCAACAGGTCCTTTATCCACTTGCTGCTTGATTGCACGGTACAACAGGAACAAAGGTTCTCCGGCACATTCACGCAAAAACTTGTACAGAAGGAATGTAAACCATGCCGAAAGCATCTTTTCTGCAACACTCTCCGTCCTGTGTGAAAGGGGAATAACTTTTATCAACTCATACGCAATAAATGTCAGACATATCCGGACAAGTATGAGGAAAATTATGAACTCTACCTTCCTTGGATTTCAACCACGGAGAAAAAACGTCGGAATAGTAGCCAGGAATTGATTACATATAAAGAAAAAGTAGATATCTCTGGGATCGCATGAACTTCAACTTGACGCTTTCGGCGGATTTAATTTGAACTTCAACAAAAACGATTCACTAAAAATAAATTAATTTGAGAGTACTCAGTATGTAAATAGAATACAGTAATTTCAATTCATACATTTTACGAGATCAGGAGGATAGAAAAAATGCATACCTTCTGAGCAGGAGCTTCGGGTGGCTTTTCCCATCCATGCATTTTTCAATTAGATCTCCTAGTAGCGTTTTCAGCGTGTCAGTGCAGTATTCCATTTTGCCTTGCAGTGCAACCATAATGAGCGAGGCCACATTTACTCTGTAAAAATAAAAGCACACTTGTACAGTATATATTGAATATATATTATACATGGGAATGAAAGGCTGGAAAGAATATGCTCGATGGAAAAGCGGAGAATTTTACCGCGGAACGCCTTGACACAATTCCTCAATTTCCAAACCCGTGAAATTTAAACGATCTAGTAAAGCGGAAATCTCAAGAACGATATTTCCCGTTGAAGCAAATCAGCTCACCTGTCTCGCATGGAGAAATATCTGTTGCTTTCCAACGTGCGAATGAACAAGAGCAAGAACGTTTTATTCATGACCAAGGTGCCGAAGAGTCTCAATCCTTTCTCCTTCCGGCTCATCTCCGGATAATCCATTCGCAACACCGGATGATCCTCGATGTTCGGAAACAGGATTTTCATTGCATAAGTTCTGTAGTCCAGGAACGGAATGCCACCCGTGGTGAGATCACTAGTCAGATCTGTAATTTCCGTCTGCAATTCGGCAAATGCCTCTTTGCACTCCGCTGCCACTTTCAACTCGAGCACGTCCATTTGATCTTGCATATTCTTCAAGACGCGGGCGTTTTCTGTCGACTTGCGTCGATACATGATGCAGATTGCAATGATGCCAACGAGGAAAAGCGCGGCTATCACGCTTGTGGGAATGATGGCTTTCATGGAAAATGTTTCTTCAGCAGCTCCAAGGGGTGCGTAACTCAGGTATCCAATTTTATACGTCAAATTGTCCCCAACAATGACCTTGAAGAAAAATTCGAGTTATGAAGATCCTTTCTTTGTATATATAGAAAAATCCCGAATACCTCTGAGAACATTAACCTTTCAATTTTCTAATGAAGATTCTTCGACCAGACCTCGATATTAGAGATAATAGGTGGTTCTACACGTTTTTTTTCTCGTTTACAGAGATTTATTTTCCTATTACAAGGAGAACAGGAACATTTGAATACTGAGAAATTGAAATCTTGGCGGCTCCACATTCTGCTACTGGATTCGTTATTAGAAGTTGAACACGAATTTCGCTTAAATCTCTTGATAGCGCCTGACTCTATTCTAGGCTACTCTAAAACATAAAATTAACTTCTCATAATAAATCCGAATGACATAAACTATAGGGAGTTAATTTTTGGGGTGGACTAAGGGGTCCAAGATTTTTGCTTATGGTGTTCGATGAATGAGTGATGGATGATATCGAAGAAACGCAGGAAATCGACGGACAACTGAAAAACATCAGATAATCAACTTCTATTCGTAAAAAAAAAGAAAAAGATTCTCGATTGATTCACTACAGGAAAATAAATTAAAACCACGGATATCAGTCGTAAAAAATGACGTTCAAAGTGAAATAGCCTGTAAACTCTAAAATCACGATCGATCGGTGAGTTGCGACGTGTAGACTTCAGAATAAAATTCACGCGGAAAAAAATATAAACTTACCACAACTTCCGGAAGCTGTCCGGTAGTCGGTTTTCCGTAGTCATCGAAGCCCGGAGGTTGTTCATCTGGCGGACGACACGTCAGCTGATTTCTCGACAACGACGTCACGTTGCAGATTTTCGTGCCAATCCGCACGATCACGTCCGCTTCTGTACAAGCCCTGTCCAACTCGCGACCCTATAAAAATAACAGGATGTCAAAATACTATGTGTCAAATCGCACAATCTTCGAAAAATAAACAACAACTCACATTTATCGTCAAGTAGTCGCTTTTGTAGTACTTGATTTTCTCCTCGAATTTTTCAAAAATGGGGTTCGGATACAGCGTAAAACTCGCATTGAAGCGTCTCGAGAGATTCAAAACTTCGATCACATTATCCATGATGAATCCGTATTCCATATGCATCGGTGCAATGATGGACGTGTCACTCTCCACGGTAGGAGATTGACAAAACATGGATTCACTCGTTTCCACCGCACATCGCTGAAAAATAAAGTACAGTAAAATCAAATATTTACTCAAGTGTGGAAGACAAACTTTCCGCGGTTTCGGACGAGAATCAACAATTCTTCTGAAGAGAAACTAATGAAGAGAAAATGCAGTACTGTACAGAACCCACGAAACAATGTTCCCCAGAAATTTCACGTCATATTAAAATATGTACATCAGGTTACATCTAATTTCGGTTCATGTGTTTCGTTAGTTTTCGGAATGAAAATTGTCAATAGAAATTTTCAGGAGAAATTATAAAAAAAAAAACTTCTCCAACGATCAAAACTTACGCCGTAGAATCGCCGGCCCTGATCATCCTCGACGTAGATCTGTGGATTTTGCACCACGTCGAATCTTCTTCCTGTCACGCGGATCGTGATACCTCCAGCAACGATTCCCTTGGGAGACTTGGTCTGACCTCCACCAACCAGACCGTGTTCGACCGAGGTCACAACCGGGTCGTCGGTGTACTCGAAAGTTTGATTGCTCAACGCCCGCTCTCCCTTGTCGAAGTTGACCCGAACTTTTCCGTCGATGATGGAGCGATCCGCCGCAGAGGTTACGCACCTAACTTCGTCCAGAGATGACCTATTAAAAAAAAAACCACATATTGTACAGTTGTACCCTCGGCAATGGACGCATAGCATGATGGATTTTTCGCACGAAGGACGCGGGCTGCCACCGATTTTTGCGTCGGAGTTTGGACCCAGCTTCGGATAATGAACGGCATCAAAAGGAATAGTCATTGAAGAAAAATAAGGTGCTACGGAAGATGTGCCAGCAAAATTTTTTAATTGATGAATGTTTTCTGAAGTTCTTGAAGCTATTTCAGTTATAAATTGAAGTTTATGCAAAATATATTTTCAAAATATCTTAAACGGATCAGCCATCCTCCATCGATTTACAATTATCAGTAGAGAAACTCCTTTGGGAGCCCTGAACCAGTAGTTTCTCCAATAGCTTTCCATTTTTCATAATGGACTTTTCACTGTAACAAGTGCAATAAAAAATTCATTGCAGTTCATGACAAAATTTGGCAATGACTGTATAAAACCTCAGAAAAAATAAAAGTCGCGACTAATATATCGCCCCTTTAAAAAATTAAGTAAACTAGACCAGGGCCTTTTTCAGTCAACTATAAAAATTCGGCCATTTTCTGCCTTCGGGGAGTTGAAAAGTATCGGCAATAAAAAAATAAAGACAACCCCACGAGTACCGGAGATACAAAATAAAGTAAAGAAAAAAAAGATAACCCCCACTTACCAAGTGATATTGCAGGGGAACTCGTTGACGAAAGCCGTGATGCGACTGCCGGCGTTCATGTAACGACCGCGGACGGATATTTCCGTGCCGCCGGACTTGGGACCTCGGCGAGGTCGGACCGAGTACAGCACAGGGTTCACGAACTCGTACGTGTCCCGCGATTCAGCACGGAAATCCCCGACCTTGACAATCACGATTCCTTTCCTCGGGTCTGCCACTCCCGGCGAATCCGGTGTGCATGTCACCTGATTAAAAAAAAAAGGGGGGGGGGGGTTAAAAATTATTCAAAAGCCATAACGTCAACGAGTTCCCCTGCAATATCACTTGGTAAGTGGGGGTTAAAAATTGCAATTTGGGTAAAAATTACTTCGAATTACGGTACTCAAATCCCCCGAAATCTCATTCGCCAAGCAAAAAAATTTTCGTCCTCCTGAAAACGATTCTGATCCCTTTCTTGTCTGCTCTGAATCAGACCTACTTGTCATACTTGTGGTACGTGTACCGATGGCAGAACAATTGAGAAAAAGTCAAGGAATGGGGGTTAATGAAAATATAAATGAAACAGAAAATAAAGTGACCGAAAAATATATCGTTACTGTCATTGACTCGGGTTTCAAAAAACAAAATCTATTTGGCTAAATACTTTACCATGAATTTGAATAGGAAGTATTTGTTGGACGAGTGAAAATCGGTAAGTACGAATTAAATATTATGCATTAATGCAAAACGAATTCTAAATCATTGATGGAACTCGGTGCTAAGGTTATGGTAAATCCCTTCATTCTGACGGGATTTCAAGCATATGCAACAGATTTTTTCACAAATGGCAGAGATGATCTCTTCATGGAACTTGAATGTCTTCAGAAATTTCGCGATGAACGTAAACTTTATTGGCCAATACTGAATTATAATACAGTACAGTACAATACTGTATTTTCATTTTGCCACAGAGGATAAAAAGCTGATTTAAAAAGATAAAAACAGCGTGGATTTAGGTCGACGATCACTCGATCATACGCACAAAAAAGTTTATGAAAGCCGTCGAAATTAATTCTTGATTTATGCGGTAATGAAACAAGTGTATACTACTGTATTCAGACTGCTTTCATAAAAATTCTCGCTGAGAATCGAAAGATTGTTGAATCTACGGCCTAGGAGCTTTGCGTGGAAACAGAATCGCTTTTCGAGAAGAAAATTGCTGCCTTTTCAGCAGGCATTATTCCTGACCTCAAAAAACACACACAACAAGGGCCGTAGGGCAATAATAGACTGACACCTGCTCAACGGGATACTAGAAAATTGCCCCAAGTTGTTTCCCAATAGGGGAATCGAGTCGGTCCGAGGCTTGCATTTCTTCCGTTCGAAGCGAGGCCATCAAACAATTCTTCAACTAACTGATCGGAATCGAGCGTACCTGTCTAGTCTGGATGTAGGTTTCCTTGTACGGCATGCAAGGAATCCCGGCCACCATTATATTCTTCTCGATATCCTCCACGACGCGGCCCAAGTTGATCCCCTGGATAGTGATGTTTGTCCCGCTTTCCCACGGGCCGTACTTGGGATTGAAATCCACGATCATGGGATCCGGACAAACATCCGACTCCTTGAGCCAAACACGGGGTTCCGAGCAGTCTCTGTCAATTGAGCACCGGTTCGAACTCTGGCACCAGCCGCACTTGTATTTCGGGTCCAGGGACAAACACATCCCACAATTGTCCGCCATCACGTCGCAACGGTAAATCACAACTAAACAAATTAAAAACATAGATAATCAGAGTCCTGCTCAATCCAACGACCCCCTTCCCGAATTTCTAAAAACAATTTTGCTGTACATCGAAGATATTGAGCTTGATCTCGAAGTAGCTTCTACAGTTTTCGGCAGGAATCAGATCTGGAATATCTCAAAATTTGATGTTCCTCACTTTTAAATTCAATGACATCGCTTGCCCATTTCAACTCTAATTCAACTCAGGAAATCCCGTTTTTGAATTCTGAAAATGTGAACCAATCGCGTCTTTTTTTTCTGCATGGATTCCTCGAAAGCCTACAGCTGAATTTTTTTCGAGTCATCATGTTATAATTCTCTGTAATTTCTTTTTATAAAAGTTGAACGGTATCAAAGACTAAATTTCCCCTGACTCCTAGTGTTTGAAAATGTTTGCACAAAACGGAATGCGCTTTTAAATCCTCTCATTTGAGATTCACGGGATAAAGCGTACGTCTCAACAGAACACATTAATGCTTAGTTTCTATAATGATGTTACACTGCCAAGAAAAACCTATATTGAATGACTCCGAGTGAAAGGGCTATACATGATGCAATATTTTCAATGAATAAGGAACCAAGTAACCGACTTGAAGGTTTCATCTACAAATCAGCCATAAAGTAGAGGATCATAAATATCAGCAACAAACTGACACGGTTTTAGATTAAATTTCAAAATTGGCACGTACTGTGAACATTCTTCGGGTTGTCCAAAGATTTTGCGCTCCCCCAAATCACAGCAAAAGTGGCAGTGAGATTCGGTGAATGAGAATTGTAGCTGAACCTGGTCGCGTCACAATAGATCGTATCTCCAAGCAATTGTCCTTGCTTCATCACAGCTCTCCCATCGATGTTGAATTGGCACAAGAACCGAGCTTGCACAATAAATTGCTACACAAAAAACCCCAATTAAAACCGACCACGCAAAAAAAGAGGTTCAAGACGCGTTCGAACAAAAATACTGGGCACAAAAACTTACCGCAATGTTGTCAACTTTAACGCGAATCGGCATCGTGGTTCCGGACGCCACTAGAATTTCTTCGGTTTCGTACTGGATTCTGGGACAAAAAGTTGGACCACTGCGAATGCTTGGGCCTTGGCGCTGCTCGATATGAACCATAAATATCACCCATTAGAAAGGGAATCACTTCCAATATAAAAAAAACCACATCTGTATCTCAGCCCGATTGATGAAACCACTGATAAGCACTTTTTTAACCGCTGTGACGGCACAGTTGAACGCGTACCAAAAACATCGAAGGTAAATTTTGTACGGAATTTTCTACGGGGTATCAGACACAAAGTAAAATATTACCATAGGAACATAATTTTAAAATATCACTAGTGCATTAGAAAATAATTTGCTGACTTCAGGCGCAGTTTTTGCGCCTAATAAGGCAATCTGAACAAGATGCACTCAAGAGGACTCTCCAAAAACGATTTCGCATACACTCAGTTTCTTGTAGACCTACAAATAATTAGTTTAAAAAGTAGCACCTCTTAAAAAACGGGAACTATAGTCCCAGCACCTTGAAAAGCACGCGACAATTTATTATTCCCAGTGTCCCAGGCTCAACAACGGCCATACATTTCATGACCAATTGCCCTACTGTGACATCATCACCACAGATATGTAGAGCCAAAACTCGTTAAGACGCCCATCCTCCAATAAGCCGCCACTCTCGGCCACCGCCAATTTACTTTGAAAAACAAATCTTCCTTATGATAAAAACAACGGAAACTCCATTCGAACGCCATCCGCCAAGATTCAAGTTCTGCCAGAGGTTTGTGATTTAAAAGAAAGAACACCAACATAAAGATGACATACAGTAATTTCACTTCTTGAAAACATAAGCTAGAAAAAATGTACAAATCCCGTGGTTATTTTGATTGCTTCCTGGAAGAATACATTTTATTTCCTATTACACCGGATTTAAATATTATTTCATCTTTTTGATAAACTCACTTTAACCCACAACAAACGAATGGTGGCGGCTTAACGAGGTTTGCCGGTATTAAAGTAAATCCCTCGGAACCACTTGAACAGGCACACTTTAAACAGTTTAAACCACCGAAACCTTACTCTAATAAGTGTAATAACCCAGCTGTTGCACTGTCGAGAGAAAAACAAAACGGCAAGACACACAAACCTCAAGGCCAGTGACGAGGATGTCATTTCGGCAGTTTTCCGCAGCATCATGAGTGCACCTGTTGCCATCCACGCACCAGTCACACTCGAAAGAGCTCGACACGCACGACGTGCACGACGCGTACGTGTTGCAATTGAAAAACGTGAAATTGGTCGCCACAAAGTCCTGTCCGTCCGAAAACCTCAGTGAGAGGATGGCCGTGAAGAAATCTGCAATGACAATCAATAAAGGGCTCACGTCGGATGCTTCAATCGAAAATCAAATGCAGTGGTGTCTCGGTCGATAGTCTTGAGCCTAGCGTTATAAGTGAGAAGTCTGTCATACGAAAAGTCCCTTCACGGAAGAATTTTAAGCTACGTGAAATGACCTATTCGCACAGAACACCCAAAAAGTCCCTAACCCGATCATAGCAATGAGAATGCATTGGATTGGCTAATCCGTTCCCGTTTCCTTTGAAATACTATTCATAAAGCCTAAAATAAATTACCAATGAAATAATAAGTTTTAAATGGAATATCAAACAAATATTCAAAAAAATTTGCGGAACACGAACATTTTACCAAGCCTACAGCACTGTATTTCAACTACTTTAAAATGCAGGCAAAATTACACAGGCACATATTTCCCGAGCAGCTTCAACTTTAAAATGTAGATCTCCTTCGACATTTTCAATTTTTAGCAAGGCTGTACATCAGCCATAGGGTTCACAATCCGAAGTAAGGATCAGTGGCAGTTAACGTTCATCGCGCAAAAATGATATCAGCCGAAGTATCCATTATCTCGGGTACCACAGTACTGCAGCCGCATCACTGCACTTGGTATGTGATCATTAATATCTCCGAAGCCGGATCAATTTTATATCATCCCCGGGAATCAGATTACACTTGATGACTTGAAGCATCAATTCTCCCAAAACTAAGCTAATTGGCAGCGTTTGATCTACTTTCATTTTAGTTCAAGGTTCATGAAGTACTTCAATTCCATCATTAAAGGAAACCCGCCGCAACAGACAACGAACAGAAAATCTGGAGTAATGTATCCAGTTTTACTTTTCCTGATTCCATTGACAAATCCTGCTTCTTAAAATGACAGGTAGGTGTAATTGGAATCATTAACATGACCGAAAATAACGCAACACTACCAAGAATCAACTTCCAGGAACAATTTCTGTTCTAGTCTCGAACAATAAGCTAAATTAATACGTCATCCAGACTTAATCAAATGCATAACAATTCAGGCGACATCTACATAATTTCACAAGAATCCCCAAACCTACGACATCGGAGGGTTTAAATGAAAAAAAAATCTTGAACACAACAAATCTCGATCATACAAATTACTGCATTTATACCCATATGAAAGATCCCCGAGAAATATCTTAACACAGAACTTCCCAATATACTCCCGCGATGAGCGGGAAATGAAATCTTAGCGTCTTTCGAACTACCATTTTCTATGGGCTAAATATTTCAGAACATCTCATAAAACGATCCAATTTCGTTCCACCTTTACAAGCCAATTATTTTGGAGCCGAAAACCCTACTTTCTGGCCTTGGAAAAAGAGCCATTTTCCTGGACTCGGGACATAAACTTTTAAGGAAGAAGAAAAACAAAACAAAAAAGATAACGCAGCAAGGAAGAAGACGAAGAAGCGTAACCAGGAAAAGAAACTCACGCTGTCCATGGTTGAGCACAGGTAGGAGGTCATTCCTCGGGGTTGGACACTTGATGAACTTGTCGCTCCGAGTCGCGTTCGTCGTAATGGTCTTCCCCATCGCAGTGAAGGCGCACACGTAGTCTCTCCCCAGCAGAGGTAAATTATCAATTTCCAGGTGCAACTGTTCAAGATAACACAAATAAAAAACAAATATTAGCGATGTGAAAAAAATATCATTCCCTTCACATGAATTCCGCATCCCTCTCACGACACTGCGAATCTGTGATGCCCAACAACAGCCGACCAACTCGTTACACGGTAGAGGGGAACCAACTGGAACTCGTGACAAAAGTTGAGATTCGTCAGAAGTTCTGAACGACATACGGTCAGGAGATATTCACATCAGCATCAAATTAGAAGCAATGCATTCAGAAATTTCCCACCCCAATCACAACCTCCAAGTCACGCCAGCTCAATTAAGTAGACACGGATTCTGCTCAATTCGTGCTCCAAAAAGGCGCAAAATTGCATTAATGCTTTTGCAACCTCTCATTAACCCCTACAAAGTCGATTAAAAATATTTTACGACCAAACCACAAGCACTGTAACTCAAATTTTGAAATTAAAAATAGAAGCTATGATCATCAGTCACATCTGCCTTCAGGAAAGCCGAATTTCAGGGATTATGGTATATCATAAAAAAGATATCAAGAGAACAATGGCGAAAGGCTAGCAGGTATCAGAACTTTCAGTCAGGTTGACTCAATAAAATTTGCTTCTTCATTACTTCAAGTAATACTATTTATTCTTTCGAGGCATAAAAACCGCTTTAAATAGGAGAGACCAATTTTTAGCATGAAATATTGCAGTGCAACTCAATTGCGTCGAATTCTACAAGAATATTTCGTTACAGAATGTCATCCCATTCATGCAATCGAAATCAATCCACCGAAGTCTGGATTGCCGCGCAGAGACGCACTTGAATTTTCTGCAGAAATCCGAGATTGGAACAGAGAATGATTTTGACATCGCTCAAGATAGGACCTGTCATTCAACACGAGCTAACACCCGAAAAAACCATTTCACCAGGGCAGCTCCACAGGGGTCTCAGAACGAAGTACTGTACTACGTAATGTAAAATGTTATTTGCAGTTCGAGAAAGAGCAATAAAATGTTTATCAAGTTTCCTTAGTACAGTACCATGATAGCACACAAACTCTGATACGATTTGATGGACAGATAAATGCCACAAAAACACGCCAATAGTGTATTCAATCCAAAAACAATAACAAAAAATCCGTGTGCGAAGTCTTTGTGATTAAACTGCGACACTGTAATAGAAAATATTTTTGTAGAAGCTTGAAGAATTATTTGATTTTGTATTAACGGGAATGTGAAGAATAAAAACGATTTCCGAGTACAAAATGCTTTTGATAATGTTACATGAAACTCTCTTCTGCGAGGGGATCGTGAATTTTCCGAAGTTTATCAATGTTCTGCATCAGAAAATAACAAATTGCTACGAATTCTCGTCTCTTTTGTAAAAAAAAAAAGAAATCCAGTGCATTAGTCATATTCAAGTTTCGAAATATGTAATACTATTCCCGGAATTTTCTTCTGCTTCCTCCTCCTTCCATCTCGGCATATTTCTAGATAGACGATCCACGAACGAGCCTATTTATGCAGCAATCATCTTTTCCAAATCATACATTTTACAGTAGTATTTTTAAAATTCCATCTCTCTACTTTTTTTAGTTTGCCAGATTGCCTGCGACAGAAAACAGGCTTAGAACGTT